ATGTGCAGAGATAGCCAATTAGTGGAGACACAGGGAGAGGGAGAGGGGAGAGACCCGTAACTCTTGGGTGCAATGCCCCCCCCAGGCCTGCTGACTGGGGGTTTGCCGGGCACATGTAGGTGATTCCCAGTGCGTGGACTGTTTTAGTGTGAAACTCGGCATATGTGCAGAGAAGTGTACATCTCAGTGGGTCATAACCTGCTAGGGTGGGTCACCAGGTCCAGAGCTGCAAACTCACCTCCATACCACTGCCCGCCTTCCCCTTCCTGCGCGCCCTCCCCTGTGACGTACGCCACTGCTGTGCTTGAAAGCAGAGCCACACGGTGTTGTATTCCTTCATGTCTAGCTTTTGTTGTTCAGGTTTATATTTGTTGACCCTGGTAGTATGCCTTCGTTTTCATTGCTGTGCAATATTCTACTGCATGAGTGTCTCAGTGTGAATGTAAGCAGAGTCATTGGGGCCACTGTCAGTACTGCTGTGTTTGTCCTTGCTGCATGGTCAAGGGCATTTCTCTGGGGCGTAGAACTACAGGCGGAATGCTGGTTCACCCACTTTCACCGCGTTGAGCCCTAACCCCAGCATAGTGTAGGAGCTGATTGGGCCATTGGAGCGAAGCCCTCCCCACTGGGTCTCCTGCCTTTTAAAAGGGGCAGCAGAGCACCACATGAGGGCACAGTGGGCAGGAAGGCCCTGCACCCTCCCCGGACATGCGTGCCATAGCCCTGTGATGCTGAGCCTTTGTTCTTCAAATCCAGCAGCCCCAGAGAAGCCCTGCCACCGTGGTATGGTGAGCCCAGTGTGCTGCCCACATTGCTGGGGGCATGGCAGGCTGCGTGCCTGTGGTTGGTTAGAGTGTGTGTGTGTGTGTGTGTGTGTGTATGTGTGTGTGTCTTGAGTTACAGTGTGAGTGCAAGGCTGTGAGTGCAATGCTGTGGTAGCTTTAATCTGTGTCCCCTTGATGGGGGGGGGGGGGCTTTTTCTTTTCATTTTCAGCGCTGGGAAGTAAAGCTGGGGCTTTGGGCATGCTGAGCGAGCACTGGAGCTCCACTCTCCCACTCAGAGCTGGTGTGGTTTTTTGAGACAGGATCTCACTCTGCAGTTCAGGCAGACCTCAGAGTAACTGCAGTTCCCCTCACTCAGCCTCCTGAGTACTGGGACTGCAGGTGGGAGCCACCACCCCCAGCATCCTTCACTGTGCTACATCCAGATGGCTTCTTTGGACATACCTGTTCAACTCTCCCCTTTTTCCTCAATCTTTTCTTACTCTGAGGTTTCATATTTTATTCTCATAATGTTTTCTTGAAGAAAATCATCTCTTTCCATTTCAGTGTGGTCTGGTTGCCTGTTGCCCTGCGGTGGTTAGTCCTTTTAGGGAAAACTAAACCAAGTTTGTAAGGTTTGTTTTTTTCTTCAGGTAACACACCCTTTACTGTTTCGGTGTAGCTTCCCCACCCACCAGCCGGGATTCATTTGGGATGGCGTGCGCTGCAGGTGAAGGAGCTCTAATTATCCATCTTAGTCTGTTCCCTCGAGTTCTGAGACAGCGCCTCACTGTGGCGCCCGAGCTGCCGTATCTTGGCACTCTCCAGCGTACCAGGACGTTCTGGGCTCCTCATGTATCTTCCCGTCTCAGGAACAAGCCACTTCTTCCCTCTGGCTTCTGTGAGTGGACTGAAAGTGTGGTTTCAGAACTGTGGCCTGGCAGCAGAGGGTGTGACGCGGGGTCGGGGGAGCTCACAGGCCTTTGCCGGGCGCAGACGGAGTGCAAGCCATCTGCTCAGTGGCTGCAGAGGAGTCTCTTGGCCTTGCCTGACCTCGTGTCCATCTCCTGGTCCTCAGGGACACAGAGGCTCAGAACAGTAGCTGTGTCACTGCCCTGTCACTGCTGAACGTTGTTAAATGGCTTCCTTGTGAACGCCCAGCCTTCTTCCCAGCCACACAGTGTGTCCTGTGTGTCCACGGCGGCTGCCTGTTGTCTTCCCTCCCACGTGCCTGCATTCTGCGCCTGACTTCTGCAGGTAAGTCCATCAGGGCCCCAGGCCAGGCCTGATGTCATTTCTCTTGTCTTTGTGGCTGAGGATCTTCTCTAGTGTTTCATAGCAAAGGTTCAGAACAATAGGTGCTGAATTCTTGTATTCTGATAGCCATTTTTCTGCATTCTGTAGCCTGAAAGTCGGTTTGGCTAGATGTAAAACTCGGTTCCCTTAGTTTTCCTCGGATGTCTTAGACACGCTATTCCATTGCCTTCTCCAGTAGAGTACTGCTGTGGACATGATGCCTTTCTTTCTCTTTTAAGTAGCTTTGGTTTTGGCTTGAGAGCCCAAAGGACTTATTTATCTCTAGGTCTAGCAATTTTGCTGGAATACGCATCGGGGTATTTGTTCAGGTTTCACATGCCCTTTCCATACGCAGTCTTACAGCTTTCATCCAGCAAGGCTTCAGCGTTGTGCCCTCTCCTGAGGGACAACTTCTCCAGTTGTTTGTAAGTTGGATCTTCTTTACCTGCCTTTAAGTTTGTCAGTTTTTCAAGTCATTTTTATTTATTTCTTTTTCACAAAAAAATTTCATGGGTGAAAAAATTTGTTTCCTGTTTGTCATCATCTATGGAGTTTCTTTGCTTTTTCTAGTTTAGTCTGTGTTCTTAAACTCATATTTTACTTTTATGTCTAATGTTTTCCTGGGACTTAAAACCTTGTTCAGATTTTTTTCTTTCTCTCTCTCTCTCTTTTTTTTTTTGGTACTGGAATTGAACTCGCAACCTTGAACTTGCCAGGCAGGCGCTTACACTGCTGGGCTAAACCCCCAGCCCCAGATTTTTTTTCCTATCCAGATTTATGGTGATCTTTATGTCATTTTCTTAGCATCTGTAGTTTCTTTTGAAATGAAAAATTCCATTTTTGTTCGTTTTTCTGCTATGCGTATTTCATTATCTGAAAAGATAGTTTTCTGCTCCTCGTTTTTGTCTCCTACCCTTTTGGAAGGTTTGATGGACTGCTTTTGTCTTGCATTGTATTAATTTGCTAGTTCTGCCTTAATAGCCCACCAAAGCTTAGCAGCTTATAGCACCATAAATTAGGAGGCCAGAAAGCGGATATGGGTCTTCATGGGTTACATCAGGGCTGGGCAGCTGAGCCTTCCTCCTGGGCTCTAGGGCTACAGTTATTGCCCGATTTGTAGAGCCAGGCATGTAGCATTCTTGACTATTGTTCTGAGGTCCCATTTCCCTCCATCTCTACTGTGTTTCTCTTTTCCTTCTTCCTTCTCCTTTCCTCCTTTTTTCTGTCCTTCCCTCTCCTTCCCTTCCTTCCCTCATTCTTCTGTTTCTTTTCTCTCTGATGCCAGCGATGGAACCTAGGATCTCATTGTGTTAGGCAAGAACCCGCCCTGGGCTGCTCCCCAGCCCCGCTGTTTTACCGCTTAACCCCTGGTGGGAGCTCACTGTGCTGTGTGGGGGCTTGGTGCAGGCTTGTCCTGCTTCAGCCTCTGAACCTGCCTTGGGTCCAGACGCCCTTTGCTGTATTCACTGTGTAAAAACTGGCAGCTCCAGCAGCTCAGCCTTCAGGGTGTCCACAGGGTCCTGTGGAGGGTAACTCCTTTCCTTCTGCCTCAGAGCTGGGTCCGCCGGATGCTAGAGGATGGCCGCGGTCTGGCCCGCCACTTACGTTGTGGAGTTAACCGAGATGTATTATCAGCCTTGTTTGTTGTTGGTATTGTCTGTGATATGGTGATGGTTTTGCTGTTCTAATTCTGTTCTTATGAAAAATTTTAAAATTAAATTTTTAAAAATTAAAATCTAGGCTGTATTATAAACAAATACATGAACCTAAAATGTTTCAAATGAATAGAGTAGCTACACTTAAGGGAGAAAGCTTACAAGAAGTCCCCAGAGGTAGTGCTTGGTCCTACAGCCTGAGTCTGAGGACCCCGAGTGCACCGGCACTGCCCTCAGGGAGGAGTGTGCAGCTTCTTCTGTGGGGCTTGGCAGTGAGTTACAGGACTGAGTCAGGGGACCCCTCTGGGACCCAAGGGGCTGGATGCCCGGGGAGGGGAAATGCGCAGTCCTGCAGAGGAAGCGATCCGGTGTCGTGGAGAAAGGGGCACTGTCAGCCTGCACTCTGGGACAGGCGCCTGCCTCAGTCCATCCGTGCCGGCCCGGGAGCCAGGAGGCTGAGCTGTGTGGCGTGGCCGCCCCTGTCTGTGCTGCCTGAGGAGCTCAGCAGCTTCTGCCAGAAACAAGCTTGGCTACCATGTTGTCCAGGCTGCCTGCCGACAACCCCTGGGTTGATTCGAGTGACTGCACTTTATGTCACAGCCTGGTAGAAATATTGTCGTTGGGTATTGAATTCTGGCTTGGCATGTTAGGGCCTCGGTGATCTCACACCGTTCTTCGTCCGTGAAAACCAGAGTTGGGCAGCGCGTGCATCCCTACCCCTGCAGCCCTGGCCCCGTGTTGGCCGCAGTACAGACGTGAGCGATCGTCCTGACTGTGTCAAGAGAGACTTCAGTCACGGAACTGTCACTGCACCATCTGCACTGGCTGGCCTGACTTGGACAGCAGGCTTTGCCGAGGGCGTGGACGGATAGGAAAACGACATGAGTGGGTTCATTATCCCACAGTGGGGGCTTCTGCTTGGGGTCAGGCCCTAGGTAAAAATAAAAGAGGGACAAGAGGCAGCTCAGTATGAAGTCCTTGGCTCTGTACCTCATGCCAAGAAAAGAAGTCTGTATTTTTTTATGGAAAAAATAAAGCAATTTCAAAACAAATACAGGAACAACAACAGTTAGCACATTCAATATTGTTATCTTCAAACTACTTGCTCGGGGTACAAAATGTGGGCCTAAGACATTCTCCACGTGGGACTGGCACCCAGCCTGCCTTCTGTGAACTGAGACAAGCTAGTGGTGTGACTTTCTTCCTTCCTGTTTTAATGTCGTGTCTACTCTCTCGCTCCTGCAATCACATCTGGGTCTGTCTGTGCTGTCCTTATCCTGCTTACAGGTCTGCTCCTGCCCACACCTCTGCATGTCTGGAGATTTGCATGTGATGTCAGGCATCTGACTTATGCCTACTGCGAGCAGGGCTGTTTCGCTGTTGACCAGTGTGAGTGGCAGGTGAGTGACCATCTGCTCGTCCCCCAGGAGGCTGGGCTCACCTCAGGAGGGAGCGGGGTGGGGGTTCTTCGCCTTTCTCAGGTTTTGGTCTTTCTCAGGTTTTACTCGCTGGTTGGGCTGGTCGCTGTGCTGGCCTCAGCCGCCTCCTCTGGGGTGGGGACTCCTGGCTTCTTCCTGCTCTTTGGGTTTTCTTATCCGGCAGGCCACACAGCTATGCTGCGTATGCCATCCTTTCTTTCACAAAGTGCAGAAGGTTTCTTTCGCTGTCCTTTGTGGAGGGCTTTTATCCTGAAAGCTGTCAGATTCTTCAGTGCTTTTCTGCTGCTATAGAAATGATCTTGGGCTTCTGTTCGTCCTTCTCCTCTGGGAAGATTGTGTGGGTTTGTGCAGACATCTGGCTCCTCCCCCAGCACTGACCGCCACAATTGCCCTGTCTGTGTAAGCTGCCCGCCCTGGCACCTGATAAACCAGCAGAACTGAAGAGTGTGGGGTGGAGGAGGAGGAGCCAGAGGGTGGTTGTATCCGGTTGTGCCCTGCTGCGTGGAAGGAATTCCCATGCCTTCCTGGCCACCCCCACCCATGCTGAAGTCTTCTGCAGGCTCCTCTGCAGTGTCGCACCTGCACTCAGTGCTTTTTCACCAGATTCCCCCAGACTAGCTCATTTCTTTTTTTTTTTTTTTTTTTACTTTTTCTTTTTTTTGTCTTTTTCGTTTTTATCAGTACCGGAGATTGAACTTACGACTGCCTGCTTGTAAGGCAGGCGCTTATGCCGCTGAGCTAAATCCCCAGCCCTCAGACTAGCTCATTTCTGAGTGGGGCGTCAACTTTGCAGTCTCGGCATTCGCACTACTTGGTCATCGTGCAGTATACTTACTTTTTTTTTTTTTTTTTGTCTTTTTCCTTTTTATCGGTACCAGGGATTGAAGTCACGACTGCCTGCTTCCAAGGCAGGCGCTTATGCTGCTGAGCTAAATCCCCAGCCCCTTGTCTTTTTTTTTTTTTTTGTCTACTTTTTATTTATTGATGGACCTGTTGAAATAGTAGAAGAAAATTTTGCGTTTATCTTTATTTTATTGATCTGTAGTGAAAAAACTGTTTTCATTACAGGCAGAGCGATATAGCTCAGCAGCATAAGCGCCTGCCTGGCAAGCGCAAGGTCATGAGTTCAATCCCCAGTACCATTACAGGCAGAGCAATAGGTTCTGCCCAGAGCACCCCGTGTTTAGCCACTGTCCACACAGGGTGTCCTTGCTTCATGGGCAGATTGTCCTGTCTCCTACCTGCAGCTGGATCATTTGGCAGCAAAACCAAAATACATCATCCGTGGGTCATTTTCTTTTTGGTTCTTTTTCCCTTGCCTCGTTTTTTGTTTTTTTCTTCATTATGGTACTGGGGATTTAATGCAGTAGGAAACACACATCACCCTTTTTAAAATGTTTCTTTTTGGGGACAGAGTCCAAGTAAGTTTGTTAGGCCAGGCTTGAACCTGTGGTCACCCTGCCTCAGCCTTCCAGTGCACGGGGATCCCAGGTGCACACTCTTCGGTCCTGGTGGATGTTTCCATTGGGGGCATCTGGCGGAGGCTCGGTCACACGGTGGCTGATCTGAGTGTGATGCTTTTTGAGTTCATCCGTCCTGGAACAGCATTTTACTCCTTCCTGTGGCTGTATCACAGGCCTCTGCACACCTGGGTGGTATTTTTAAATCCATGTATCACTTGATGGACTTCGGGTCCTTTCTGCTTTTTACCTGGCATAACATGGCCATGTGCCTTCACTCCTGGATGTGTACCTAGCTGTGGAACTGGCATGTGAAGCCCTGTTGTAGACTTTGCACGGTTTTGCTGTTGTGTGTTTGCATCAGCGCTGAGGCGCCCATTTCTCCGCGTCCCTGTTACCCTCTTTTTCATCCTGGCCGTCCCAGTGGTTGTGCACTGAAATCTCACCATAGTTTGGATCTTTGCAGTGTTCTAATGATGTGATTCTTTCCCCCATACCTGGCTTTTCATTCTTTGCAGTTTCATATTTTTTCTATTTCTTGCATGTGTGCATGGGTGTGTACACACACATGTGTGTACATGTGTATGTTGTACTGTGGGTGGAATCCAGGGACATTGTACCACTGAGCTTTATCTCCACCCCTTTTTATTTTTTGAGACAGGATCTAACTAGGACATTTGGGGCAGCCTTGAATTTGCAGTCCTTTTGACTCAGGCTCCAAGTAAATGGGACCACAGCCATGGACTGCCATGTCCATCTTCTCTACTTTCTAAAAATACTTCACATATGAGCCACATATGGTAGTCCGTGGCTGTGATCCTAGTGTGCTGCGGGGCCAAGGCAGGAGCATCCCAAGTTTGAGCCCAGATGAGCAGCTTTGCAAGGTCTTATCTCAGAAGTTAAAAAAAGGGCTGGGGATAAAGCTCAGTGTCAGTGCCCTGGGTTCAGTCTCTGCTATTCCCCACAAAAAATGTGTGTGTGTGTGTGTGCACGTGTGTGTGTGATTTTTATTTTATACTGTGTGTGGCGATTCCAGCAGACACACGCTTTGGTGTTCTGGAAGGCTGCTTACTGCCTTTCCGAACATCCCTTAGGTGGCTGGCTTCCTGGTGTGTTCAGTATTGTTCAAGTTTTTCAATTATTACTTACTTTATGTGTGTTGAGTATGGTGCTGGGGTTCCAGCCCAGAACCCCATGTGTGCTAAGCCTGTGCTCTGTGCTAAGCTGTGCCCAGCTCTGATGTGGGGTTGTGCTGTTCTGGGAAGCCTCCTGCCACAAACACCCTGTCCTTCTCTTCGGGGGAGCTGGTGGTTTATAAGCCTAAGACCCTTCCCGGGGAGATCAGAACCCCTGCCCTGCCTAGGTGGCTGCCCCTGAAGCCTGTTTTGGGGGCAGGAGTTGTAACATGGTGCCTGCACTGTCACGGAACTGATGCTAACGGCCAAGTGAGCCCCTGCCCTGTGCCTGCCCTGGCTCCTGGCAGCCCTGGCATGGTGAGCACACGCTCGCTGGTGCTGGTACCCATGCTGCCAGCGTTCATCGCTGCTTTGAAGCTGTTTTGTTAGTCTGCTCCGCCCTGCACCACACATCTTCATTACTCTTTGATTTCTTCCCAGATCAGTCTAATTGATGGCGTTACCCACGCAGCACGGTAGAATGGATTGATTTCAGATCAGCTCTGATAAACCTTGACTTCAGGCCCCTCTGCTAAACTGAAGAGGGCCGTGCAGACTCAGGATGCAGGTGACCTTAGTGTCAGGGGGGCTCTTTATCCACACTCTCCTGACCCTCTTCTGGTAGGCAGCTTGAATTTGAATCCATAGCTGCTGTTCATTTAGTTGGCAGCCAGACTTACTATGCGAATGATTATGCGAATGGATTGTGTAAGGTTAGAGAATCAGTGTTTCTGCTTCCTTTGCGTAGCCTTCTCCAGTGCTTGTGCACTGAAATCTCACCATACTTTGGATCTGTGTGCAGTGTTCTATTGATGTGATTCTTTCCCCCGTACCTGGCTTTTCATTTTTTGTGGTCTCATAGTTTTTCTATTTTTTGCCTGTGTGCATGGGTATGTGCGTGTGTCCAGGCGGCGTATTTGTGATAGTATAGATCTGAAACCCATAGTTTGGCTCTGTGCTTACTTTGTTGTCATCTTTTATAGGAAATGCAGAAGGACCAAGTGTGCACTGACGAGGCGGGAAGGGTCCTGTCCTTAGGACCTGAAGCAGGTCTGGCTACCAGCACATGAGTCCACACTGTGAGGGCCACCTCCAACAGCAGCGCTCCCAGAATGCAGTGCTTCAGGCCCTGAGACGACTGTGCCAGGAGCCACACGCTGCTCTCAGTGATGTTCATGACTGGCTACGTCGGCAGCGACGTCCCGGAAGGAGGCATGGGTGTGAAACAGGGAGATAATCTGCACGTGGGGCATAAACGAGCCTCAGCCCAGTTTCTCAGTACCCTGAGGCATTAACATGACCAAGCAACCAGGATAGTGATGGTCGGTCATGGAGAGCAACCAGGAGAGTTGTCCCAAAGGGGATGAGGATTTTGATTCTGATAAGATAAATTTCAAAATAGAGGAGGAAGATGACGATCAGGCCCCTGGCCACTGTCTGGACAGGATGGACTTCCAGAGCGAGCAGGAGGACATGAGGCCGACTGACAGCGGGGATGAGCAGGAAGCCGGTGGGGTTGCAGGCTGCGCTTGTCGGCCCCCTGGGCAGTGCCTGCCCACGGAGGGCGAGGACGAATATGGGGCCCTGTTCTCCCAGTACAGCAGCACCCTGTACACCGTGGCCATGGAGGCGGTGACGCAGAGCCTCCTTTCCAGCCGGCACTTGAGCTCCAGGAAGAAGTCCCCGGCCTGGCAGCATTTCTTCATCTCCCCCCGGGACAGCACCAAAGCCATCTGTAGGTACTGCATGAAGGAGTTCAGCAGGGGCAAGAACGAGAAGGACTTGAGCACCAGCTGCCTGATGCGGCACGTGCGGCGCGCACACCCCACCAAGCTGGCCCCCGATGGCGGCAGCCTGGCTGTGGGCTCCTTCCCCGCCCCTTCCCTCCTGCTGCCCCCGCAGCCTGCAGACACTGGCGACCTGGGCGCCACGCTGTCCCCTGTCAGCCTTGTCCCGGATGTGGCGCCTAAGATCCCATCCCCTGACCGCATAAAGGAGGAGTCTGTGTCCGCGGTGCCCCCCGAAGGCGTGGTGGACAAGTTCAGCAGAGAGGAGGCCCCAGCGGGCTCCTCGCCACGCCTGCCCTCCCTGCACTACGACGAGGCCGCTGCAGATAGCGCGGCCGACAGGAGCCTCCCGCTTCCCAGGAGCGTGGCCGGCTCCCGGCGGCGCTCGGCCGTGTGGAAGCACTTCTACCTGTCTCCACTTGACAGCTCCAAGGCCGTGTGCGTGCACTGCATGAACGAGTTCAGCAGGGGCAAGAACGGCAAGGACCTGGGCACCAGCTGTCTCATCAGGCACATGTGGCGGGCGCACCGGGCTGTGGTGCTGCAGGAGAACGGGGGCGGCCCCACCATCCCGCCCCTGTACCCCACGCCCCCCACGCTGCTGCCCGCCCTGCTGCCCTCTGAGGGCGACCCTAGCTCCGTGGCCTCCTCTCCAGGGAAGCCTGTGGGTGAGTGCCCGTCCGCTGCCTCGTCCCCGGGCCAACTGGCTGAGGACCTGCCACTGCACGCCCAGCCTGGAGACGTGCTCCCTGAGGATGCGTCTGTGCTGTCATCCTCCGACGAGGTGGCAGAGGCCTCGGCGGTGTCCTCCCCCGAGAAGCCACGCATGGGCGGGCTGAGTCCCAGGAGGTTTGCCTCGGGGGCCGTCTTCCAGCAAAATAAAAAGGCAATGAGGAGACTGAAGTCGGAAGTCTGGCACCACTTCTCGCTGGCCCCCACTGACAGCCTCAAGGCCGTGTGCCACTACTGCAGCTGTGCCATCAGCCGGGGCAGGAAGGGGGACGTGGGCACCAGCTGCCTGATGCGGCACCTGTACCGGCGCCACCCCGAGGTGGTCGGCGTGCAGAAGGAGCTCCTGGGTGCCAGTCTGGCCAACTCTCCGTACGCCACACTGGCTTCTGCCGAGAGCTCCTCCACGCTGAGCGTCCTGCCAGCCACGGTCAGGAAGAACCACCAGGTCCCGTTTCCTGTCCACAGCAAGAAAACCTCAAAGCTGTGGAACCACTTCTCCATCTGCTCCGCAGACTCCACCAAAGTGGTGTGCCTGCACTGCGGCCGGACCATCAGCCGGGGCAAGAAGCCCACCAACCTGGGTACCAGCTGCCTCTTGAGACACCTGCAGCGCTTCCATGGCCACGTGCTCAAGACTGACACCCCGGAGCCCGCGATGCCCTGCTCTGCCACCAGGCTTGGGCCACTGAGCTCTGAGCTATCAGCAGCGTCCTCCTTTGATGATGCTGGTGAGAAGCTTTACGACTCTCACCCAGTTGCCAAAAAAATCACCAGTCTCATAGCTGAAATGATTGCACTTGACCTCCAGCCATACTCTTTCGTAGACAATGTTGGCTTCAACAGGCTGCTCGAATACTTGAAACCTCAGTACTCCCTGCCCTCCCCCTCCTACTTCTCCAGGACAGCGATCCCAGGTATGTACGACAATGTGAAGCAGATCATCATGTCACAGCTGAAGGAGGCAGAGAGCGGGGTGGTCCACTTCACCTCCGGAATCTGGATGAGCAACCAGACCCGCGAGTACCTGACACTCACGGCGCACTGGGTCACCTTTGCACCCTCCGTGCGCCCGCACTGCGAGGACCACCACTGTTCGGCCCTCCTGGACGTGTCGCAGGTAGACTGCGACTACAGCGGCAACAGCATCCAGAAGCAGCTGGAGTGCTGGTGGGAGGCCTGGGTGACCTCCCTGGGCCTCCAGATCGGCATCACAGTCACGGACAACCCGAGCATCGGGAAGACGCTGAGTGAGGCGGAGCACTCGAGCGTGCAGTGCTTCGGCCACACGGTGAACCTGATCGTGAATGAGGCCATCAAGAGCCAGAGGATGGTGCAGAACCTGCTGAGCCTGGCGCGGAAGCTGTGCGAGCGTGTGCAGCGGTCTCCCAGGGCCCGGGAGAAGCTGGCGGAGCTGCAGAGGGAGTACGAGCTGCCGCCGCACCCACTCCTCCAGGACGTGCCATCCCGCTGGAACACGTCCTTCCACATGCTCGAGCGGCTGCTGGAGCAGAAGAGAGCCATCAACGAGCTGTCCATCGAGTGCAACTTCCGGGAGCTCATCAGCTGTGACCAGTGGGAGGTCATGCAGTCCGTGTGCCACGCACTGAGGCCCTTTGATGCCGCCAGTCGGGAGATGAATACTCCCGTGTCCACCCTGAGCCAGGTCATCCCCATGATCCATATCCTCAGCAGGAAGGTGGAGATGCTCTTCACAGAGACTATGGGCATTGACACCATGCTGAAGTCGTTGAAGGAAGCCATGGCCAGCCGCCTGTCTGCTACCCTGCACGACCCCAGGTACGTCTTTGCCACGCTGCTGGACCCTCGCTACAAGGCCTCCCTGTTCACAGAGGAGGAGGCAGAGCAGTATAGGCAAGACTTAATCAGGGAGCTAGAAATACTGAATTCTACCTCAGAGGACACAGCCACTTCCCACGGCTGTGACTCAGGGTCCCTGCCAGGAGCCTCGAGCGGGGAGGACCTGTGGTCGCTGGTGGCCGAGGTGAAGAGGAGGGGCGGCAGGGAGAAGCCGCCCAAGGACACGGTGCTTTCCTACCTGCAGGAGGAGGTGCTGGAGCACGGTTGTGACCCGCTCGCCTACTGGAATCTGAAGCGCTCGTCCTGGCCTGCACTGTCCACGCTGGCCATCCGCTTCCTGGGCTGTCCTCCCAGCACGGTGACCTCCGAGAAGCTGTTCAGCACCCACACAGAAAACGGCAGCTTTGGCCAGCCCAGGCTCACGATGGAGCATTTTGAAAAACTTATCTTTTTGAAAGTGAACCTGCCCTTGATATACTTCCAGTATTGAGCCTGCCACAGAGCTGGCCGCAGACTAGAGGTGCTCCTGGAGCGTGCTGTCATCCCAGGGCTGTGACCCACCCGGCGGAGCATGGGGGACAGCGGGCTGGGCCTCTGGGGCCACCCCCACCGTGTCTTGCCCACGTGTGCCTTACTCCTCCTGCAGCCAGGTGTCACAGTGCGTTGTCGGAAGGCCACTGGCACCAGCCTCTCTTCGATGATGAAATAGGATGATCAGGTTTTAATTCATAACTGCAAAGTTTTTTAAAAGTTAGAAGTTAGTGATTTGTTTTACTAGAACGGAAAGAAGACATAAACCGTTTTATTTTGCAGGTTTTTTTATTCCATTGTGTACAAACCACAAATCAGGTACTGTATTTTAGTTACACATTGCTTTAATTACAACAGAACAGCTTTCATGGCTGTCAAAGGAAAGGTGCAGACAGGAGGTGGCGTCCACGCCATCCTGACCAAGCAGTTCTCAGCTCTCGGCTGAGGTCAAGCAAGAATATTCTGGAAGCTGACTACTCTGACAGGCACAGGCATTTGAAATGAAACTGAAGTAGGGTGTCACCGACTGTCAGTCATTTGGTTACAGAACTTCCATTCCGGGTTTTTGTATTCAGGTTTCACATAGTTAACTCAGAGGTACCCAACTCTGTATCATGAGCTCCTCGAAATTGGATCCAAGTTTGTAAATCTGCGGTTATGATTTAGCCAGGGCACAGAGTGAGACATGAGCAACAGACAGCGCATGTGGCTCGCAGTGCCGCGCCCGGAGGCCGCCCCTCACCTGTGTGCACTGACCCCGGCTTGAGCACTTATGGCTGTGACCCCTGTGGAGGAGGTGGCTCCTGAAACAGGGAAGGTGCTGAATCGCACTGCAGCTGTGAAAATAGCCTTAGGCATTTAGGGTTTTATGATAGGGAAGACCCAGCCATCACTTGGGTGTCTAGAATCCCAGTGGCATCAGAATGAAATACCAGTTGTCAGATTCTTTTAACAATCAGTATGTCCGCAAAGTTATTGTGTTAACATCTGAAAAAGGATTCCTTTTTTTTCATTTCAAATCAATTTAGTATTGATCTTTTAGAAAAGTTGTCATTTTGTTAAAATGTTGTCCCTAAACTTAATCTAACTTTGTGTGGGCTATGCTTTAGTGTATTTATAAATGGTGGACTCAGTTTTTGAAATTAAATTTTTTATTTGCAATTTTCTAGTGCTGGTGGATACTGGCTTTTTATTGGGGGGGGGGGGTAAAATGGGGGTCTTTTTTGGGAATCAACATACAAAAGCCACATTTGTGCAGCCCTGGCCAGCATTGGGATGGCAAGGATGGTGACGGCTTCTGGGCCTCATGTCAGTGGGAGCCTGGCCACTGCCCTCCGAATGCTGGCTAGGGCTGTGGTGGGTAGCAGGGCGGTACCCACAGCCAGCTCAGCACCTGTTCGGGACTGTCTGAGTTTTAACACCCTTAGAATATGGAGCTGTCTGGCTTCGTGAGTTCCCCCTGAAGCAGGGCAGCCCATGTCCTTGGCTGGATGTCACCATCCCCTGATCCTGGGACACGGCCACAATCGGCACAGAAGCCGTGGTCCCATGGCCCGGCTGTGACAGAGGCTGGAGTTGTAGTGTGGCGGCGGCTCGGTATCCCCACTCACACACAGTCACGTGCTGCTGCTCTCTACGAAGTGCCCGCACTGCGTCCATGCCTGAAAAGGACTGCGACCCCACCTCGGTGGCCCTGGGGTGTCCTCACCTGCACGCTGCACACACAGGGGTGTACCTATTGAACCTGGCACCCTTGGGCACTAGGGAAGCATCTCCAGGGGACAGGTCTCCTTCAGACCGGGTCAGCTAGCCCCGCCTAACTCTCCACTCAATCTCTGCCTCTCTGTGCTGCTTTGGGCGGGGTCCAGCACTTCGCAGGTCTCAGGTCATAAAAAGCCCAGTTTGCGCACCTCCAGAGTGTCTGCTCTGTAAGTGAAATTCCCAGGCGTCTAATAATAAACAGAATCTTACCCGGAGCTAGAATTCCCTTTCCCATTCCTTTCCGACCACAGGCAGGTAGCTAGGGTCAGCGCCCCCCCCCCCCCCCCCCCCCGCCTCAAGAGTTACCAAAGCAATATAAATCCTTTTTACTCTCCGTTCTCTTTTTGTTCTTTTCTTCTTTCCATGCCACTCTGGGACGCAAACCCAGGCCCTCGCGCATGCTCATGGGTGTTTCTACCTGAGCAGCCACCCTTGCTCACAGCATCATTTTGAAAAGAGCTTTCCAGAGATGTCAGAGAGCAGAGTGGTCAGGATGCCAGGTTTGCAGAACAGCGCCCGGGAGCAGGATCCTGTGTTTGGGGCTTTCTTTTCCGCCGGACACTGCTGGTCCTGTCTGAGTGGAAGGTGGCAGCCAGAGCTGGCAAGGGGCACTGTACAAAGGGACCCTAGTGACTATGATGCCATTGCATCCGGGACTCAGGAGCTGACAGAGAGCTACTGCTTCCTGGGAGACAAGGCCAGTGCCACAGCTCAGGCAGCTGCCACAATGCCTGACTTTCAGGGGAGATGCTGCACCAGGGCAACCGCCCTGAGACCTGCTCGGCACCTGATCATAGCTGCTGAGACTTCACGAGCAGCACGACCCTCAGGGAAAACTCGCATCGTCCACACACGGGACCTCCCACCGGGAGGAGACCTGCACATGGGCCAGACTGCGTGTGGGCGCTGAGCTTCCAGCCACCCCGCGTACCCATGGGGTAAAGCCAGACATGCACTTCCTGCCGTGAACCGGTGGGACTTCCCTGGCTCCTGCACTGCCTGGCACCCCAACAGTGGGTGAGAATTTGGTGCATGACACACTTGTACTCCCAGCATTGAAGGAGGCTGACACAGGAAGATCCCAACTTCAGTTCCTAGCTGGGCACCTGAGGGTGACCCTGCTGCAAAAAATAAAAGGGCTAGAGATGTTCCATTTTGGAGTGTCCCTGGTTCAATTCTTCACACTGAGAAAGTTCAGAATTTAAACAGATACCACTTTTGCCCCATCGTAAACTCACAATACCATAGTTGGACCACGGTAAACCAGAGACTGTCAGTATTTATTTAAAGGGAGAAAATGCCGTCCCGTAGTACAAAGTGGTGAACAAGGACACCCTTAAACTAAAAGCTGCAGTGGCAAAGGAAGAGTTCATTCAGTGGGTTGAATGCCACAGTGGAAGTGGATGAGAGGACTGGTGAGCTGGGACCAAAATGAATTCGGCTAAGCCGTAGGATGACAGGCAAGGGGCGGAGTCCCGGGGCTGCACGCAGGGGAGCAGCCCTGGCAAGCACAAGCTGAGTTCAATCGCTGGCATCAGAAAAAGAAAATGACAGAGATCAGGCTGCACTAAGTCACCCAGGCTGGCTGAGCTTGCTGTCCTGCCTCAGCTTCCCAGGGTGGTGTGGGTCCAGCGTGCACCAACTACAGCAAACAGCACAGTCGGGGAAGACAAACGTGGCCCGTAAGGTCAGGCAGAAGGCGGAGGTGCTTCCTGCTGCCGCTGCCACAGAAGGCTGGCAGTCCTCACCAGAGCAGCTGACAAGAAGGACGTAAAGGTGCGCACGGTGGACAGGAGGAAGTGACGCCGCAGAGCACACGCTCACATGGAGAAAACCTTGAGCCCTCACTCAGACTGAGAAATGAAGTCAGCTAAGTAGTAGGGTACAAAGTCAGGTGGAAGAATCAGTTGCTCTTCTGCACGGTAACAGTGAACAATGCAGAACAGATTAAGGAAACAGTCCCACTGCCAGTGGCAAAGAATACAATGCTGCAGGTGAGGCACGCACGGTGCAAAGGGCAGACAGTCCTGAAAGGTAAACTCGTGGACTGACTGCGGACACGGCTATGCTGCCGTAGCCACAGAGAGCCCCACGCACCTACCTGATGCAGCCTCTACCAGAACACAACCATGTTGTGTTGTGTTTTGCTTTCTACAGAAGAAGAAAAAGATCACTGTGTATGAAATCTCAGACTCCAAATTTCCAAAATAACCTTGAAAAAAGAACAAAGTTGGAGGGGTCATACTTTCTGATTTCGAAACTTGACACAAAGCCTCAGTATCAACAGTTTGGGTGTAGTCATGTAAGGGCCAGGGTTTAGCTCAGCAGCTCAAACACCTGCCTGGTAAGCGCAAGGTCATGAGTTGGATCCAAGGAACAGATTTGCAGGTGGCCAGCAAGGGCAGTGCTTGGCATCACCAGTCACTAGGAAAAATGCACATCAAACTGGCTGAGGCACGGCCTCACACTCTCTGGGTGGGCATGCGCAAAACACCCCACAGGCAGCCCACACACGGACATGGTGGCACCTCAGACAGCCCATTTCCTCCAGAGTTAAAAACAGTTGCCATATGGTGGGTGCAGACTCAAAACAGCCAAAATCAGGCCCAGGAGAGGTCTGCACAAGGCTCACAGCAGCTCTGTTCAAGCAGCCAAGTGCAGAGGGACCGATGGGGAAACGTGGTCTGTCCAGAAAGGAAGCTCGCCCAGCCTGGAGGAGGGGAGCCTGGATCCTTTAGCCTGGCACAGTGAGGTAAGCCAGTCACAGAAGGGTAAACCCTTAACACTGCTTGACTCTACTTACCTGAGGCCCACACAGTAGACAGAACATGTAGCGGACAGGAAGGCATGGCATTGTCTTCACACATGGCAAGACCATCTGTGTAGAAGATCCTGGAGAATCGGGTAAGGAAGTTACTAGGAATAACACGTGAGTGCAGCGGAGTGCAGTAAAAATGACTAAGGCTATAGCACTCAACAGCAGCCGCTGGCACTCTGTTATGTTTCTATATGCAAACAACAAAAACACAGGAATGAGCACTTTTAGTCAGGCTTGGTGGCACACAACTGTATTCCCAGCACTCGGGAGGCTCAGGCTCACCACAAGTTTAAGGCCAGCCTGGGGTACATGGCAAGATCCTGTCTCCAAAAACAAAATTAAAAGATGAATGAAAAAGGGAAAGAAAAAAGAGGGAGAGTTTGGCTATGAACGAATTGCCAGGTGTGGCCCAAACCTGTAATCCCAGCACTCGGGAGGCTGAGGCTGGAGAATCACTGGAAGGGAGTTCAAGGCCAGACTGAACTACAAAGCAAGACCCTGTCTCAAAAAGATAAAGCAAAGATAAGAAAACAAATTGAATGAATGAAATTGTTGGCATGTTTTAAAAGACCATTTACAGACAGGTATGGTGGTGCATCCCTATAATCCAGACCTCAGCAGGCTGAGACAGAAAAATTAAGTTTTTAGGCCAGCCTGGGCTATGTAAGAAGACCCTGTCTCAAAAAAAAATTATAGAAAGTATTTATAGTAAATCTGACAAAAGATATACATAATCTGTAGACCAAAAACCATAAAACATTCCTGAGAAAATTCCAAAAGACTCAAGTAAGTGGAGAGAGAGACCAGCTCATGGATTTGGAGGTTCAGTGTTAACACCCTGGTTCTTCTGAACTGACCTGTATAAATCAGTGCCACCTCACTGACTGAACGACTGACCTTAAAGACCACAGGGAAATGGAGAGGATGCAGGAAAGCACGTCCACTTGGGAAAGGAAGGGACCACTGGGCCTCACTCTGACTTCCGGGCCTGTGCGTGACGGTAACAAGACAGACAGAACAGCACCCACGTCCCATATGTAATCAATTGGTTTCTTTAAAGATCTCCTTTGAGATACAAAGTAGACGATAACATCTAGTGTACAGTTCAGTGAGTTCTGACACTGTCACCATCACCACAATGAACGCAGTTACAGTGGCAGGAACCCACCACAGCGGGCTATGCATCACCACCAACAGCTCTGAAAGATTCCCTGTCTCTGAAGTTCACCACAGCGCCCCCCAAAGTTCCCCCCCCCAACCACCACTTTTTTTTTTTCCCTTAACAGACTCAATTTTTTAGAGCAGTTCTGGTTTTCTAGCCAAGTTAACCGGAAGTGCCGGTCTCTTCTGTCCCCTCCACTGTCAACTCTGGGTTAGACCCTCTGTTGTCTTAACAAATCCACAAGGACATTTCCCTGTCACCCGAAGCCCAGGGGTACAGGAGAGGTCACTCTTGGGGCCAAGCAGCTTGCAGGTCTATCTTCACTAACACCTACTCCGGGGTCCCCTGTTCCCCCCCAACCCAACACCACTGCCTCGTTCACTCAGTGGGTCTGGAGTCTGCCTGCACCCTGCAGCCTTTTCCGATCACCTTCCCTCACCTCAAAATGTGTACCTCAGTCCTCTGCATGTCTTCATGGCCCAACCACTTGTCCTCCCTTTTAACTGGTTCTTGGTCTGCCAACCGTGGGGAGACATCGTTTGCCTTCCCGTGTGGGCGACACTGAGCGAGCTGCCTTGAATGCCTGAGCCATCTTTGTGCAATGTGAGTTTCTGGGTTTTTTGGGTAAATACCAAATGCAATCATGTTTAGTTCTGTAAGAAACTGCATGTTTTGCATTCCCATCAGCAGTAAGCTCCTTCAGATTCACCACCTCACCAACAGCATCACAAATAGGAACTATTTACAGCAAACCTGACAAAACATCTGCATGCTAGTTTGGATTCTTGCCATTCCAATAGTTGTATAGTGGTATCTTGTTTTAAACCGCAAAATTCCTGTAAGACCAGTTTCTCATGTGCTTATTTGCCATCTGTGTATCTTCTTTGGTGGAAAGTCCAGATATTTTGCCCATTTTTATGTATTTGTCTTTTTGAAACAGGATTTTACTATGCAGTTCATGCCAGCCTTGAACCCACTCTGTAGCCCAAACTGGCCTCAAACTCATCCATCCTCCTGCCTCAGCCTCCCAAGGGCTGAGATTACAGGCATGCACCACCATACCTGGCCTTTCTCTCCATTTTTAAATCAAGTATTGTATTTTAAGAATTGTCTATTTTGGGGGCTGGGGATTTAGCTCAGCGGCATAAGCGCCTGCCTTGCAAGCAGGCAGTCGTGAGTTCGATTCCTGGTACTGATAAAAAACGAAAAAGACCAAAAAAAAAGAATTATCTACTTTGGGTGACACTTCTTAATCAGATGTATCTTTCACAGAAACTTTTTTTTTGGTCTTTTTTGTTTTTTATCAGTACCAGGAATCGAACTCATGACTGCCTGCTTGCAAGGCAGGCGCTTATGCCGCTGAGCTAAACCCCCAGCTCCTAAAACTTTCTGTCTTGCAGCTGGTCTGCTTGGTCTCTTAGTCAGCTGTGTGTGGCACTGGGGTCAGACCTAAGGCCGTGAACTTGCTAGGCAAACGCTCACTCCCAAGAGGCACTCAAGCCCCCAGAGTGAACTAATTTTTGAGAAAAGTGAAAAACAATTCAGTAGAGAAGATCATCTTCCCAGCAAATGATGTGACACTGCGTATTTGTATGTGCAAAACTTCCTCAGTTCATCCCTGTGCCATATGAAAATTGAAGTGGATCACTAATCCAAATGTAAAACGTTACCCAGTCCAACTTGCAGCAGCAAACAGCAGTGTTTGCCTCACATGCACAAAGCGTTGGTTTGATTCCCATCACCTCCAAAAATAATTTTAAAAATACAATTTTCATAATCTTGGGTTGGTCAAGATCTTTCAGTACAATAAATGTATGATCTGTAAGAGCAAAAGGTTGATAAACTTGACCTAACGACACGCATCTCTCTCCAAGACGATTTAAGAGAGCGAAAAGGCGTTTTACGAATCACACCTACCTAACAAAGGACTTGTTCCAGAGTGTGTAAGGAACTCAGAAACAACAGCCCAGCAACACCTAGCAAAGGGCTGCAGAGCAGATGGGGATCAGTCCAGGGGTCCTGAGGGCTGAGTGGATGCTGAGGGGCCGTCAGGGCCTGGCCTCGGGGATGGTGACATGTGGGTACCTGCTAAGCTGAGCCAGACATTCACTTTCTGGATGCATGGCACATTAGGTCTCAGGGATGCTGGTTTTCAGTGTCTTCCACAAGAGTATGAAAAGGACTTTTGAGTCGGGCATGGTGGCTCTCCCCTGTAATCCCAGCACGTGGGAGGCAAGTTCAAGACCAGCCTTATGAGCTCAAGGCCAGCCTGAACTGCATATCGAGACCCTGTCTCTTAAAAAAAAAAAAAAAAAAAAAAAAAAAAAAAAAGGACTTTTGATTTGAAAGATTAAAAAGATGTAACAGCCTGAGCCACAACTTTAAAGCTAACAGCATGTAATGTATTAACTGTTGCTGTTCTATTACTGTTAAGAAATTTTACTTTTTTTTCACTGGGTCTAATACAGTGGAAGAACTTTAGGTGGTCCTGGCTTGGGCTCAGCTGGAGGACAAGTGCAGCCCGGCTGTGTTTGGGCTCATCTCCCTGTACACTGGGGTAGGCGATCGAGATCCACAGCACAGGGGCAAGTGCTGCCCAGCGCCGGAGTTGTCTGGGTCACAGCCCTGTCTGCAGATGTGTGGGAAGCACTCAGGGTCTGCCCACGGGGTCCCAGAGAATGGCGTCTGCCATGTGAGTTCAGAGGCTTCAGCAAAATACGTGTGTGCATGCGGCATACACCTATTGGAACACATATCTGTAGATGGCCAGTGTAAAGTAACTCCTTTCAGTGTTTGGGGATACTGTGATCAATGACTTGCAAATTCTAGTTTTTTGGTACCGGGAATCAAACTCATGACCTTCTACTTGCTATGCCACTGAGCTATATTGCTGGCCATCAGATTCTGTTAAAATTTTTCATAATGAAAAGTTAGAATTTAAAATGTGCCCACTGGCATGGCTAACAGGAGGAATGGAAAACACTCAGCTCTGAAACCCCTCACTGTGTATTTTATCCCTGAGCAAAGGCCCTGCAGGACTCAGAGCAGGCAAGGGGTACGAGGAGAGCCCGCAGGGACAGCATGGACACGGCACAGGGCTGCGTGGCAATTCACCTGTGCAGATGTGCGTGGGTCTGTACGCATGCATGCGGGTGCGACATAGGTACACCTCTCCACGCACAGAGAGGTTTCTGACAGCCATAAGCTCACCCAGCATCCAATCCAAGTCTCAAGCAGCTCCTACCTATGCAACAGGGCCCCAGAAGTCCCCCTGCAGGGCTGTGTGAGCTGAAGGACATGCCGAGCTGAGGTCAGGAGCCAGGGGCCTGCTGGCCAGTCTGGTACAATGCCAACAGCAAAAGCTGCAGGCCAGGCGTGCACACTGACAGCGGGCACGGCGCCCCTGGGAGTAGATGGCAGGAGGAGCAGCCCGAGATCAGGGCCGCAGCCTGGAGTGGGGAGACAGCCTGGCGAGAGGCAGCTGCTGGGCACTGGGGAAGTCCAGTCCAGCCAATGTCCTGTTGTGGGGGACACCACTCCAGGGTGTTGGACTGCTTTCGAGGGTCAGAACCTGTGTGTGGAACGTGCAGTGTCATGCGTGCACACAGGTGTGGTGGATGCTGTGTGCACGTGTGTGTGTGTGTGTGTGTGTGTGTGTGTGTGTGTGTGTGTCATGCTCGTGCTGCCCTAGCTCATAAGGCAGCAGCCCTGTGCCTGGCAGAGCCACGTGTTGCGTGCGCCTGCATGTTCTGGGGCACAAAAGCCCCAAACTGCCCTTCGATGGCACCTGGATGGGGCAGTCTCTGGGTGATGTGCACCACAGGACACTGCGGGAAGGTACTACAGTTTATTCTCGCTCTTCCAGGAACATGTTCTTTCCTCCGACTCCGTCTGGAGTGGAGAAGGTGCTCCTGCAGCAGTGGTGCTGACAGCACCAGGGCCACCACATGGCTGGGCCCCCATACCCTTGTGGACATGAGTGGTACCTAGGCCTGGTGACACACCGACACTGCTGCCCACCTGGCAGCTGGTGCAGGGGCCTCATGTCCTTGGCAATGGCTCTGGGTGCCAGTAAGGCCCAGCCCAGTCCCCTTGCTCCGCACCAAGCCACCGACTGGGCTGGCTCTCAGGATGGCCCGAGAAGTCGCTCAAGGAGCACCAGCTTCGTCTGAAGGTTGACATCAAATGGAGGCAGCTTGGTGAGGTTCAGACTCACGCCAGCAGCACCTGAGATGCTGGCCAGGACTCGGTGAGTGTCCCTGTAGAGGGCCAGGTGCGCGGGCACAGCCTCCATGAGGACGTGGGTGTAGGACAGCATGCCCGCTGCGCCCGGCGACAGGTCTTCCCGCTTGTCATACCTGGGGAGGACAGCAGCTGCCCCAGCTCAGGCCACCCATGGGAGCCACCACCCTGCCTCCCACAGGTGACAGCAGCAGCCAGTCACTATGAACACAAACCTCCAGCCGCTGTTAGCCTGCAGGAACCTCGACACCCCTGTCTGTGCAGCAGCCGTGTCGATGTGCAGGAAGACATCTGGGGACATATGGGGCCTGCTGGAGCACGGGTGTCCCCAGCAGGGGCACGGCTGTCCCCAGGCTGCACGAGCACCAACCTGTTCCAGGGGTCACCAGCTCATGCAGTCGCTGCATCGCCACGCCACCAGGGTAGTTGAAGTGGGACACGTAGAGGGATGCTGCTGTGTAGGCAGCGTTCAGCACCAGGTGTCCAATCACGAGCAGGGTCCCCGCCTTGTACAGCCAAGACTTCCGGTAATTATTCAGACTGAAAAAGATGTGTATTCAATACAGCAGCAAAGAAAAGCCAGTATCTGACAGCAACTGGGAAACAGGCTGCTAGGCCCATGGCCTGCTTTCAGCACCTCAAGATAACCACCAGACACACATTTCTCAACAGCAGGGGTTAAAATAATACCTTAAGAGCCGAGTGTGGTGGTGCACACCTGTAATCCCAGCGCTGGGGAGGCTGAGGCAGGAGGATCGTTGCAAGTTCGAGACCAGCCTAGGCTACAAAGTGAGCTCAGGGCCAGCCTGAACTGCATAGAAAGACCCTGTCTCAAGACAAAAAAAAACCCCAAACAAACAAAAAACCACCTTAAGAACTCTGAAATTGTACCCAAGATGCCCACCTGAACTCAATTTTCTAAGACTCTGGGTCACAGCTCAGGCTGAGGCCAGGCACCAGCATGCCCAATTCACCACCTGAGCCTGCTGGCAAAATTAAAATCAAGGAACAGATAGAAGGACCTGGGGTACTGGGCCAAGAGGAACGAGAGGCCTCAGCCTCGCCTGCCTCCTGACGTGGGACCCCAGGCCAGCCCAGCCCATGTCCTGCCCTTTCCTCCAAGTGCCATGGGGGCGGCCCCAGTCTGCCTCAGAGGGTCCCTCAGAGGCTCTATCTTTCTCTCTGACTGTTCTTGAGTCACCCACCTGCTCCTGCTGACCATGATTCCTGGCCCAGTGTTTGTTCCTGTCGGACCTGGAGCAGGTTTTAGCTGGAACTGTGTCATCTAGCTGCATCTCTGATCAGTACAACACTCTAGTTTGTTGGTTTGTGGCTCAATTTCTTGGTACCAGGGATTGAACTCACAACCGTGTGCTTGCAAGGCAGGCGCTTATGCCACTGAGCTAAATCCCCAGGCCTGTGGGTCTTTAAAGGGCTGACATAAACAGCTCTGGAGAACCTACACTGCCTGAGCCTTTAATGTCACCTGTGCCTGGGGTTCAGTGACAGTGACAGTTAAAAGCCAGGACAGGAAGGTTTACTTTTTGGCCCTTAATAGAAAAGTTCACCAGCTGAGGCCTCCACCAAGCACACCCAGTTCTGGTCCTCTTCCAGACTGGCCTCCCTGTACCCTGTCCAGGGACAAGAGCAAACCAGGCTGCGCCATGGAGTGACGCCACCCCAGCCAGGTGACGCCATGTGTAGGAACTGCTGCTGGTGCCAGGCAAGGGTAGAAGCCCTGAGCCCTGCAGTGGTGACCAGAAAACCACTCCAGAGGATACAAACCTGATCCCAGAGCTGCCTCAGGGCCCCCAGCAAACCCCAGGGACAGCTTATCCTCATGGCAGACTCCTCTGAGAAGTCTGCTCCCCCTGAACGAGGCCAAGTACACCCAGACGACTCAGACGTCACTGAGGCTGCCACGTCCCCTGCCTCCTGCTCTGGACAAGATGCGTCCAGCCCACAGTGACCCCAGCCCGGGCAAGGTTCACAGAAGCACAGCCTCCATCCAGCCGCTCTGTGCTCCCCCCCTTGGCCACCCCAGGATGCAGGCCGGGGTCCACTCCCTCTTCAGAGCCCAGAGCCAGCCTGAGATGCAACGCAGCCAAAGTGAAAAACCAAAGGACAGGTTTAGTCAAAGCTCGCCTGACCAGGGCACAGCCAGGGCAGCGAGGGTGGCAGGGATCGGGCTGTGCCAAGAGGTGGATGGTGGAGGGCAGGCTTCTAGAAGGAGCCAGCCCAATGATGGGTGCTGGGCTGGGGCAGGAACCCCAGGGCAGGTCTGGGCCACAGCACCCCGTCCAGGAACTGCAGTATGGCTTCCTCACCCCTCCCAAGTAGGACCTGTGTGCCGCTCAGGCCCAAGACACCTGCTGTTCCCACCAGGGGGTGAGGCCTCGACATGGCCATGGTAGCTGCCTCAGCTGATCCTCTCCTGTCCATACGTGGAAATGGGCAGTGTGAGCTCTGCTCTGGGGACTGGCAACACCATGGGCAAGGTGGCCACATGGAGAGCCCAGCCCAGTGGCCCCACCCCAGCCTCCATGACCCGAGCCCAGGCCTCACTGCCCCACCACCACCCACAGAGGCAGTCCTGCTAACGTGGCATCCCCACCTGACCACTCAGCTGACCAACATGGAGTCCCAACCTCACGACCAGTGCCACACCTGCAACTCCTCCTCAGGGACCAGCCCTGCAGCTGGCAAAGAACTTTGTGGACAGAAACAGACTGGCAGCCAGTGACTGGCAAAGACCTGCCAGGGGCCCACACAAGGCAGCTGCCACTGCACAGGAGGAACACAGTGCCCACACCACACGCCCAAGGTCACTACACACTCCATCCCTGTCGTAGATGAGCAGAGACACCGGGCGGCTCAGGGGTAAGCACTCCCCCAGTGCATAAGGCCTGGGTTCTATCCCCAGCACCAAGAAAGAGGAAGAAAGAAAAGCGAAAAAGGCCCAAGTGCGTGCCACAGCACTCACAGGGAAGCACAGCCCCGAGCAGCCCCGATGTTGAGCCCCGGGAAGGCGTAGATGATAAAGCGCAGCTCCTTATGTGGAAGGAGTGAGTACAGGGCTACGAAGCCCAGCGAGGCCAGCATCAGTGCATGGGTCCTCCGGTCCACAGCACCCAAGGGCACAAAGAGGAAGCTGCAGCCGAGGCCACGGGGCAGGGCCGAGTAGAAGTACCACAGGAGTGGGGCGGTCTGCAAGGCGGGTTAAGGAGTCCACACGCACGTCACCAGTAGGCTCGCCATTCACAGGCGGTGTTTCTGCAAGCCCGGCCATCTCCTCACCCCACCCCGCAGTCCCAGGAGCACCAGAAGGGGCCTGGGTCCTGATGCTTCCACTATGGCCTGGCCTGATCCGGGGCCTCCAGGCTGGGAGGGAGGCTGGCAGGATACGCCCCAGTTGGAACTCTTGTTCAGGACAGTGTTGTACCACAGCACCTTCCCTTCTGGCCACACAAGCTGTCTCCAGAAGTAGGAGTCCACAGCAACCGTCAGTCCTGACAACAGAGCGGAGCCTTCCTCAGGACAGGCTCAGACACAGGAGGCTCAGGTCTGGATGAGTTTGGCGCTACTCGGTGGCCGCCCCTTCCGTGGCTCATATGAGCCACTTGGGCACAGTGCTGCCCACGTGAGGCTGCCCTGGCCTGCTCAGCTTCAAGGAGCTGGACTGAGTCATTTGCAAAGTTAAGATCAATGCGTTTAACCATTTTTTTAAAAGCAAAACTTGTCTTTGTAAAACAAGGCAACACAGGATGCCCTAGGCACCACCCAGGGAAGCCAACTTACCGAGACAGAGGAGCCCTGCAGGCACAGCATGGCACAGCAGGGTGGCCAGGGACAGCCGGCGGCGGCACAGGGGCAGCAGCAGCAGAAGGCCCAACAGCAAGCTCAGCTCGGCCCTGAAGACCACGATGGCCAGTGCAGAGAGCCAGATGAAGCGGGCCCACCGGTGCCGCAGCCAGGCCACCAGGGCAGGCAGCACTGGAAGAAGCAGAGAGAGCTCGTGCGCCTGGCTGGCCCAAGAGCCCCATGCCAAGGGGTACGTCTCCTCTCACTCAAGTGCTGCCCGCTAGCTGGAGGGTGCATGGGAAGCCGCCTGAGCACAGAACCCAGAACCTGACTCCAGGCGACCCTGGAGCTGCTACCGCAGGGAAATGCATGCTCACCCCTCAGAAGCAGCATCTCTGGGGCCAGCACCACTACCTACCCACGGCCAGGGCCAGCACGTTGGGCAGTGTCCGCGTGCAGTAGAACATCAGGTGGAACTGTGTGGCTGTCATCCAGCAGAACATGGTGGCCACAGTGGCCCCAAACTGCCGTCTCACTTCTTTCTGTAATGTCCACAGTCCCCAAATCACGCCTAGCCCGAGCACTCCTCTGACTAAATAAAGAAACAAAGACAGCATGCTGATCCCAGGCAGACAGGACACAGGCTCAGGGGGGCAGTCAGAGTGCTCTCCCAGAACTGCAGCAGACTCTGGGCACCTGCAGGCCGCCTGCCCCAACATGGCCCCAATGCCTCTCGGGGCTCCCTGCTACCTCCACTCCACAGGTAGGATCTGCTCATGACTCATGTGGAGTGATCGCCACATCCTAAGTCACCAGGTTCCCCACACACACTGCCTGGGCACACTGACTCGTGTCTGTAATCCCAGAGCTTGAGACGTTGAAGTAGGATCAATGCAGGTTCGAGGCCAGCCTGGGCTACATACGGAGTTCAAGGCCAACCTGAACTACAAGGTGAGACCCTGTCTTAAAAATAAAAAAGAAATAAAAAGAAGAAAAATACATTCCCCACACAATAAACATCAGGGGAGACGGAAGCGCTCGTTTCCCCAGTTTGGTCACTACATACTGTCCACGTGTGGATTTTTCATGCTCTACCCGAGTACTGATAACATCTCAATGAAAACTTTTAAAAAGCTCTCAGACACCAAGAGGCCCAGAAGGATCTGCAAGCAGGCCGGCGCATGGTCACTGGAGTGCAAGGCCTTCTGCGTGTCCCCAGCAGGTGTGCTGTCCCTGCAGCAAGGGCGCTGGGATCTAACAGGGAGCAGGGTCACTGCACGAAGACACACACACACACCCCGCACAGTATGCGTGCCCACATCCACGTGGGTCTGACCACGGGGCTGAGGTGACCGAAAGTGGGCCAAGGGTGAGGCAGATACCCATGAATGACAGGAAGCTCCCGGCCTCGTTGAAGACCCCCTTACCTATCAGCTGAGAATAAAACTTGGACACTTCCAGCAGTGAGAGCACATACACCGCAGGGCTAGAGAACGCTGCAAGCAACAGAGGTCCAAGGAACGTCCTGGGGACGACACCAGGGAACTCATGGTGGTCATACTGCAAAGGAGGTGAGGAAAGGCATGTCAGCAAGACGACTGGAGACAAACTCAGAGCTTCACCCACTGAGCAGGGCAGCGGCCTCACCTCATCCACGTCCAGCTGGTGGAAGAGTAAGTCATGCGTGGCCTGCAGGTTGAAGCTCTCCTCTACCTTCGTGTAGGGACAGGTGACAAGGTGGACAGCAGCGACTGTGACCAGCAGCCCCAGCAGCGGCAGGAGGGGCCGCCTGCCTGATGACCTCTTCCCAGCCATGGGAGCTGTGCCCACGGTATGGCAGCAGCGCCAGCTGTGCACCCTGAAAGAGTAGGACTCCATGTTGGAAGACCAGTCACAACTTCAAGGGCTTGGGAAGGGTCAGCCCTGCTACTCTCACACCTCCTCTGATGCCGAAAGAATACTGTCCCAACAGGAAGCAGGCAAAAAAGGCAGGGTGCAAAAGCCTGCAGACCTAAGCAGCTCTCCCGGTCTCCCAGAGACACCAGCGGCAGAACCAGCTCCATATCCGGGCCAATAGGGCAGTCAGATGAACCTGCCCTGAACCAGCCACAAGATGTGGAGTGAGTGGCTTTGAGGTGGGAGGGATACACATACAGGGCAAGAGACTGAGAGCTGCCAGGGTCACGGCACAGGGCAGCCAAAGCCCCACTCCCAGGACAGCAGGGGCTATGGACACTGCAGAACTTCACCCAGGGGGTCAGGAGGCCAGGCACACTTTCCCCAGGTAGTCACCCACATACTAACAGGATGTCTCAGGGAGCCTTGGCAGGAGCATCCTGGAACCCGTGAGACTCGATAGTAGCACCCAGAAGACAGTGGATGGGGAGCAAGTGCACCTGCATGTCTGAGGTGTTTCAGAACAGGGTGTTATTTGTGTTGTTTTGTTTTGTTGGTACTGGGGGTTGAACTCAGGGTCCTGTGCATGACAGACAAGTGCCCAGCCCCCTTGATTTTATTCTGTCCAAACCAAAAGGATCAGAAGCCAAGGGGGAGAGCTGTGATGTTCACTGCCTGTTAACACCACTAATCAGAGAGTGAGTAAGTCAGCAAGCAGCAGCCATCAAGAGGGGAAAGAGCAGACCACAAGGAGCAGGGATCCCACAGGAGAGTGGGACAAGGGAGAAAGAGGCCTTATGTAGTACATCCTGTTACAATCATGTCACTTTTTTCCTTTCTCCAATATAAAAATTTGGTATCCAGAGAAAAATGCCACAGTCAGTTAGAAACACTGTGCCCTGGACAGAGGAAGGCACTGTAGTCTCTTCATCCCCCTCTCCTAAACTCTATCTCAGTAGAGCATCGGCTGTCACCTCAACACTGCTAAGGACAGAGCTCCGGCCTTGAGACATGCAGGAGGGTCTGGACCCACATCCTGGGGCGGGACTGGCCGCCAGCACACAGTGGCCACTCGACAAACCCACAAACCGGCTGGGGAGGGAATTCAGTGAGAAAAGGAACATTAGGCTAGGGGTGATGGCAGAGCCGCAGAACTCTCATAAGGCACTCTCTCCACTCCGCCTGTTGTCACCGAAGACAAGGTGTACACACAGGAAGCACTGACCCGTCTCCCACGCAGCTGCGCTGGGCCTGCAGTCCCGCAGAGGCTCGAGAGGTGAATCAAGCCGCGGGCTCCAATCCCACCTGCAGAACCCGCCCAGACCCTCCCGCCAGAGAGGGTGGCACCTGCCCTGAGGACCAAGGGCGGGAGCATCACAGGCAGCAGGAGACCCGCTGTGAGAAGGCTTAACCCAGGGCACGCCTGGGGACCACGGCGCCCCGCGACAGCCGCTCGCACCCGGGCGGAAGGCTGACGCACCCACGGGTTCAGTCGGGCGCAGGCCACGCCAAGGAAGGCGGCTGGGACGGCAGTGGCCTTCACAGGCCGCCGCGATCACTGGCGGATCACGCGTTCCAGTGACTCTCCACCGGGGCGGAAAGGACCCGGGCAAGTTAGGCTTGCGGCCAACTTAGACCCTGAAAAACTCGGCACTTCCTTGTGGTTATCGTTCCCCACATCGCCAACAGGAAACTCTTGCCAATGTACGCTTTGCTTCTCCCCATTTAAACTAGCGGTGCCCAACGCCTCGGGCACCCCGGAATTGCGGATTCCAGGGCCCCGAAGGCCGGCTAGGCAGACGCGGGAGCAGAGCGCAGGTGCTGGGCGCCGCTTCCCGGTGACGAGCCGGGCGCTCAAGTGAGGAGCGCGGTCCCTGGTAGAAAACGGCGCCCAGGTGAGGAGGCCGACGGCAGTCACGCGCGGTAAAGCGGCGAAGCGCTGCCGCCAACACCAGCTCAGGGCTTTCGCAGGCCGCCGGAGAGAGAGCCCTGCCCCCGCCGCCCTTGCGAATCCCGGCCCCAGCGCACGCGCTAACCTCTTCCGCCCGCGTCGCAGTCCCTCAGTTAGATCGCCCGGGCTGCGATCTGCCGGAAGCGTGATGGCGGAAACAGGACACGGAAGTGAAGCCCTTGCCCGAACCTATCATGACTACCACAATTCGCCTGCTATCGCCGTGGAGCACCTCCCTGGCCCGGAGTAAAGATGGACGTTACGGGCCGCCCGTGTGAAGGGCGGGGCACGAGGACTGACACAGACCTGCGGCAGGCTCCCCTCCCGCGAGACGCTGACCCGGGGTCTCCCCATTGGTCGCCTCTCGTGGCGAGTGCGGATTGGGCCACATCAGAACGGGGCGGATCCCACCGACCAATGGCGGCGCGCAGGCTGCGGGCTGGGCGGGGCCTCGGCGACGCAGTCAAGTAGCCCCGGGAACGGCCGGCACGGGCCGGGTGGGCGGAGGCGGAGCGGTCTGTAGCGCTACGCCGCCGGTCGCCCGCCCGCCCGCCCGCCATGCACCCTTCGCTCCGCTTCGCGCTCGTTGTGTTGCTGCCTCTGCTTGTGCGGACCCCCGTGCTGGGCACTGCCCAGAAAACCGCACCCTGCCAGCGGTGCCGGACGCTGGTGGACAAGTTCTACCAGGTGGGCCGGGGACGCGGGGCGAGGCTGGGGCTTCGGGATCCGAGCTGCGGGCGCGACAGGCTGGGGTCTGAGAGGACTGCGGGGGTCGCGTCTGTAGTCGCGGCGAGCCAGTGCCACCTCCTCCGCAGGGCATGGCCAACACGGCCAAGAAGAACTTTGGTGGCGGCAACACGGCCTGGGAGGAGAAGACGCTGTCCAAGTACGAGTTCAGGTGGGTGGCTGGGCATCGCGCTTCGGGCCGGCCACCGGGCAGCCCAGGTCCTGTCCTGAGACAGGCGCACAGGGTCCCTGGATGCGCCTCCGCTGCGCCGGCGCCCCTGTGCGCTGCCCTGTATCTGCTGGGTTGGCTTTTCCCTGGCTTAGCGGCTTCCGCGGTGTTCTCGGGCTGCTTCTCAACGCCCACGCAGGGTGGCTTTTCGAACAGGTCCAGCGAAACACCTGTCCCACCCGTGGGCCTCCTGGCTCCCCCATCTCTCTTCACCCAGAGCCCAGCTTCCTTCACACCCCCGTACCCGTCGGACGTGTGGACTCAGGTCCCAGTTTCCCTACTAAAGTGGGTTGAATCCAGGGCCCGGCATGTCTGTGAAGTAGCCCTGGACTTCGTGTTTCAGTGAGATCCGGCTCCTGGAGATCATGGAGGGTTTGTGCGACAGCAGCGACTTCGAGTGCAACCAGCTGCTGGAACAGCAGGAGGAGAGCCTGGAGGACTGGTGGCTTCGGCTGTGAGTTCAGGGACCCGGACTGACAGCCTCTGGTCACCTCAGAGAAGCTGAGGAACAGCAGCAACTCTGAGTTGCTGTCCCATCTTACCAGCAGGAGGTGCCAGCCAGGAAGCTAGCTGGAAGGTCCCCTTCCCCTGCTGGCACAACCACAGGGCATGTACGATGTCCCAGCCCAGGGGCGGCTTCCCCTGGTTTAGGTCAGCCACCAACCTCAGCCTGAAGACACCACTTGGAAAATCCCAGACTCACATAACCCACAGTTTTCGTTGCATGTGTTACTTTATCAGTATGCTCGAGTTAAACTGCTTCGCAAGTGTGGATGTGTGGGTAAATACATAGCAGATGCAGATTTTGGAGTGAGGGTCTTGGAGCACATCCTGCAGGGAGCAGTTGCATCACAGCATGTTTGTCCGAGAGCTACTGACAGTTTTATGTTCTCAGGAAAAAGAAGCACCCTGACCTGTACAAGTGGTTCTGTGTGCAGACTCTGGAAGTGTGCTGTTCTCCAGGGACCTATGGGCCAGACTGTCGTGGTATGTGTTTCCTTGGTCCTGTGGGGCTCCTGTACCTGGGCCTGTAGATATCCATTTTTCAGATTTTTGAGGGAGATCTTCCCTGGGCTGGAAGGCTGAGGTCAAGTTTCAACACATGTTCAACACAGAGGTCACATAGGAGCCCACCTGTTCAGTAGAGACCCCTTTTGGATGGGGCCCAGCAGGTGCTTCTAGGAAGCATGTGCTGAGGTGGAGCCGGGCTTACTCTTGGAAGCTGCAGAAGCGGCTCAAGTTGGCCGGGCTGAGGTGTGGCAGGAGTTTCAGGGCAGCTCCTGTGCAGCTGCAGCCACTTCCTGCCCCCCTCTCCCACTTTGCCCCACTCTGTAGTCCTCTATGCTGGATGCATCAGCATCCCTTTCCACACTTTGGAGGAGGCTGCCTGAACCCATGCATAGTGGTTAAATTGGGAGCCATGGCTCACTCTGCACAGGTGACCCCACCTTGTCTCTGTAGGCACCAAAGCCACTGGCCCCTGGTGGTCTCTTCAGCAGGGTGGTGCAGGGCTTGGGTTTTAGGGGGAGAGGGGAGACCCAAATGGCAGCCACCCTGAGTGTGCCTCGAGCCCAGGTTTGTGCCCCTCTAGCGTGCCAGGGTGGATCCGAGAGGCCCTGCAGTGGGAATGGCCATTGCAATGGAGATGGCAGCAGAGAGGGGGATGGCTCCTGCCAGTGTCACCAAGGCTACAAGGGGCCACTGTGCGCCGACTGCATGGACGGCTACTTCCAGTCGCTGAAGACCGAGACCCACAGCAGCTGCACCGGTAGGGGCCCTTGATTCTCAGCCCAGGTTCCCATTCCCAAACAGCCAACCTCAGAAGGAAACCGCCTGCCACTTCCAGCCCTCTGGGAAGAAGTGAGGCCTCAACCCACTGAGTGGCGGGTTATGTCGCCCTCGCTGGCTGCCCTGACACTGTGGGCTTGCTCCACTGAGCACTCCCAGTGTTCCGGCTAAAGGCTGTTTCCATAGGACAGAGGTCCCTTGAGGGCCCTGTTGGGTGTCCGTGGGGCCACAGCAGAATGCAGGAGCAGGGCCGAGCCCCTCACACAAGGCTCAGAGGGAGCAGGAGATGCATGGGAACAGGAAGCTGCTCAGTGGGCCACTGCTGACCTGGATCCTGGTCCCTGCATAGCTCCCTCCCTAGGAAAGCGTCTGCTAACAAGGTGCTGCTTGCACCCACAGAGCTGCGCTCAGCACACTCGCCCTTGTGGTCAGGACTGCACTGGGAAGCTGCATGTGTTGACTTCTTGCTCTGTGGTCAAGCCAGGCCCTCTCTGGGTCCTGTTCCTGGTCTGCCCCCCCCTCAGTTGGGGGTCAGTGATGGTACTGAGTCCCCAGCAAGCCAATTTCACACTCACAGCAGGAAGCTGGGGTAGTGCTTCTCCCTGGCCTGTGCCTCAGATGCACTTCTCTTCTGGGTGGGGCTTGCTGGTCTGCTCTCCTGTTTTATTCCCTGCTGAACTTCTGTTTCCAACACCAGTGTTCCTCTGCATGGGGACCTGAGAGAGGACCCACACAGCCTGAGGATGTCCCTAACACAGCCACCTTTTCCTTCCAGCCTGCGATGAGGCCTGCAGGACATGCTCAGGCCCCACCAACAGGGACTGTGTGGAGTGTGAAGCCGGCTGGACGCGCGTGGAGGACGCCTGTGTGGGTGAGGGGTGCTGGCTGTGGATGGCGCCTGTGTCCTCAGGCACCCCGGCATGTGGCCACTCTGCCTCTTGCCTCCTAGCAGCAGCTCTGGGCTCTGTGCCTGGCACTGGATGCTTAGCAGGAAGGAAGTGTTGCCCCTAACCAGGTCTGGCTCTGGCGTCCACATCTGTGTGTTTGCTGTGTTCCCTGCCCACACCCCACCCCTGAGGCCACCCCTGCCTGTCACAGTGCTCCCACTGTCTGAGCAAGGGGCTTTAGACCCAGTTCTGTGGCCCTTCTTACAGTCCAGGTGACCACAGCGGCCTACCCTCCTTGCTCTGTGGGTTAGGGCTCTGGTTTTGCCCCGTAGCAGCTCCTTGGACGCTGGCCCCCATCAGGTTTCACAGCTTGCATGGGGCAGAGGCCTTAGGTGGAGGCTCACTCGCCACCTGGCCCAGGGGAGGCCTCCGAGGACAGGCGCTGCCTCTTGTCTTGCTGTCTTGACCCCTCGGCCAGCTGGGCCCCCGCCACAATACTGTTCTTTTCCAGATGTGGATGAGTGTGCAGCAGACACGCCGCCCTGCAATGACACCCAATACTGCGACAATGTTGCCGGCTCCTACGCCTGCGAAGGTAGCCTAAGTTCAGGGATCCTGGGAATGCTTGTCCTTTCTGGGCCCAACCAGGGCTCTTCCCTAGGTGTCCTGAATGTCTTTGACATCTTGCCGTGACTTCAGAACATTCAATTTTTAAAACATTTAACATTATAAAAATCATAGGTAGTAGCTACAGAAAACCCTCTGTACATCATGCTAGGAATATGGGGTACACATCTTTGCTCAGCTCGAAATACCCTTCTGGGTGACACTCCACTCTCCAAACTGGAGGGCCACACCAGCCAAGGAGGCCATGCTGGTTCGGAGTCTCAGCAGCAGGGCAATTTGAGGTCCTTGCCTGTTCAGTTGCTCCCCCGCGCCTCCAAGGCTTCTGGCTTGTGTGGCCGCTCCTGGGCGCACAGCTGGGCAGAGACCAGTGGTGGTTAGGAAGTGGTGCTCCACGCGGGAGAAAGCCCAGCTTCCCACCTGGGATGCGATGTCCGGTGCTGACATGAGAGCGGGCCAGGCGGACTGACATCATCTCCCCTCCTCCACTCCAGAGTGTGATTCCACCTGCGTAGGGTGCACAGGAAAAGGCCCGGCCAACTGCAAGGAGTGCGTCCCTGGCTACCTGAAGGAGAACGGGCAGTGCACAGGTCAGAGGTCCGGGGCTCAGCTCCGGGCATCCAGGGAGGGGCCTCGTGTGCCCACGCCTCCTGCGTGGCCCCAGCTCTGGGACTTCACCCTGGACCCACACACCCTCGCAGTGCATTTGGGCACTGCTGAGCACACACTGGGCTCCCTGCCAGGGGCGAGCCTAGCCTTGGGTGAGAGGGGCAGCACTCGGCCCTGTGCCCTGACTTCTGCCCTGTGCACCTGTGCCATGTACAGGCAGAGTCCGGGTGGCCGAGTCTCAGAGGTGTGTGTTAGCCGAATGAAATAACTCTTGAAATGGGTGTTTTACCTCAGACATAGATGAGTGTTCACTGGCAGAAAAAGTGTGTACAAGGAAGAATGAAAATTGTTACAACACCCTGGGGAGCTTTGTCTGCGTGTGTCCCGACGGCTTTGAGGAGACAGAAGACGCGTGTGTGCCACCAGCTGAGGGTGGTGAGTGCGCGACTGCCCGGGGTCCCAGGCACAGCTGTGTGGCTTGGGGCCCCCTTAGTGAGGGCACTGACAGCCCGGGTCTCCCCATAGTCACAAGGGAGGGGGGGGTTGGTCTGCAGTTGCTGCAGCAGGAGCCTTGGGGAGGCGCAAGGGACAAGTGGCCCTGTGCCGGCCGTGGGCCAGGCTGGGGTCCAAGGACTGGCTGCCCTGGGGTTGTGTGAGGGCCTGTTGTGGACCTTTTCTCCCTGTCCTCATATGGCCTCCCGTGCCTGGTCTTTTCCTGTCCAAACTTCCACCCTGATGCCCAACGTTTATCAGCTGTCCCACAGACCCCGATTGCAGACAGTGCCTTAGTCACAGGGCTGGTACGAGGACTCGGGTGAGACAGGCCAGCCCGTGACACCCCTGGCTATGGAATAGGGAGAGCTGGCACAGAGCAGGTGGAGAGCGCTCGTGGCCAAGAGCCTTCCAGACAGATGTGGTGCCACACCTAGGAACACCGCAGGGCAACAGTGGCCTGTTCACCTGGTACCACTGTGGCATGTATGGCTCGGAAAGCCCGGCACCAGTGTCAGGCCATGGCATATCGACCCAAGCCACCTTAGAAGCCCACTGCACACCAAGGGAGCTGGGGCGCAGCCCCTGGGCCGAGGCCAGCTGGTGATCAGGACAGGAGCCCCTGCCTGCCCCACAGCCCCGTGGCTCACTCAGTGGCCTGTTTCTCCCAGCAGAAACTGCAGGAGAAAACCCAACACAGCTGCCGCCCCGCGAGGACTTGTGACTGCCCCAGGCCCACCCTTTAAGTTATTCAGAGAAGCACCCCACGGCCCGTGGACGTTGCCCCACTGCTCCAGGTGACAGCTGGAGGAGCAGCTGCTGCCTAGAAACAATTGATACCATTTGACCTTTAAGAAGCCGCATTTCTTGGTTGTTGTTAAATAGATTCGTATATTTTGATACATTCTTTATAATAAAATCAACCATTGACAGAAGTTGAGAATAAAACGTGGCTTCGTGTCATAGAAATTGTATGGACCTGCTGGGCATGGTGGGGCACACTTGTGATCCTAGCTTCTTAGGAGGCTGAGGCAGGAGGATGGCGAGCCCAAGGCCAGCCTGAGCAACTTGCTGGATCCTGTCTCAACATAAGAACACCGGGCTGGGAAGTAGCTGAGTGGGACAGTGGTCCAGCCTGGCAAAGCCCTGGATCAGTTCTTAGCACCACAAAGAAAAGCATAGGCCACTGACAAGGCAGTCTATACCTGTCCTGCCATAGCTACAGAGGACACCACTGTCCCTGCACTGGCCTGTGTCCCCATAACCCCTTCCCCAGACCATCACGTGGTGACAGGTGGCTCAGAAACTGCTAGGGGCCAGATGTGTCCCCGAGGCCCTGTGTTAGGCTTGGTGCCCACCAGGGTGTTTCTGGGCAGAGCTCACTGGAGGTGGGGGTTAGGGTCCAGTGCTGCCCTCCAGGATGTCGCCTGCTCCTCTTCCTGTCCTTCCGGACATGGAGGGCACTGTTGCCCTACAGGCCTAGAGCCAAGGCCAGCATCTTAGGAGGACCCCACTAGACCTTTGTACTTTGCAGGGTGTCTGATCAGCAGTGAAGAGGTGAATGTGTGATTACGTGGAGACAAGATCTAGCAAGCTGCTCAGGCTGGCCTTGAGCTCTCCGGAATGGGCTTCTGCCACTGTGCTGAGCAGGGCCATCTGCAGGATGGGTGCCCTCAGGTGGGAAGAAAAAGCCCAATCCAGGAAGGCAGTTGGGAGCAGCAGCCTGCAGGGTCAAAGGACACCAGCCCCTTCGTGGTCTGGCATGGCAGTCAGGCCCTGCCTGCTCTGTCCCTCAAGGCTGCAGTCCACCACTGGGAACATGGCTCCACCTGGCCTGGCCCCAACACCCAGCCATGACCTCCCAGGCCCCCTCTAGCTGGACAGCCACACATCTAGCTGTCCTGGCAGGATGACCTGCACTGATCTGGGATACATACACACTTCTCAGATGAAAAAATACAGACAGCAAATAAGTATGTGAAAAAATGGTCAACATCACTGGTCATTCAAGACATGCAAATTAAAGCAACAGTGAGACTACCTTACCCTGGAAAGAATGTCTGTGATGAAAAAGGGACCCTCCTCCACTGTTAGTGGGAGTGTAGACTGGTGTAACCACTGTGGAAATCAATGTGGAGAGTCCTCAAAAAATTAGGACTACAGGTCCCATTCAACCTGGCTATTGCCCTTCTGGGTATCTTCCCAAAAGAATTAAAAATGTCATGCCACAGTGATATATGTGCACCCATGTTTGTAGCAGCATGATTTGTAATAGCCAGGTCTTGGAAGCAACCCAAATGCCCATCAAATGAGGAATAGGTAAAAAAATGTATTTTTATATGTGGAGTACTACTTGGCCATAAAGAAGGACACACGACTTCAATAGGTAAATGGGTACAACCTGAGATCATACTTGTGAGTGAAATAAATCAGACACTAGTGTGAGAAGCTGAATGAAACAACGTGTGTATGTGTATATAAAAACTAGGTAAGATCATTACACTGCTGATTTCTCCAAGGTCACTGAAGAGAAGGACTTGTGCTGGTTCTCACTGGACAATTGAATGCAGATGTCTTGTGCCCTGGTGACCTGGGAATGACAATAGGTATCATTATTGGTACCTGACTGACATGTTTTGAAATTTTAATTTTCTTTCTCTCCTTGAAATAAAATGGATTAAAAAGAAAGGATATGGTGTGCCGTGTAGGCCAGGTCCCAGAGGCCACCCCTGGGTCCCTGGACTGGAGCCCTGCAGGGCGGCTGTGGCCCCAGCACACCTACTCTGCAGGCTGTGCCACCCTGGCTCTCTGGGTCCACCCTCCACTCACTTGCCCAGCCTGCTCTTTCTGTCCAGCTCCAGGGGGACGGGCACGGGCTGTCCTCACCCAGTGGACAGGACTGCATGGGGCACAGAAATGGTCAGCAAGTGGATGCTGTCATGACTTGCAGGCCAAGAGGGCTTGGGGGACAGGGCATGGGGATGTGGTGGTTTGGGAAAAGATAGGAAAGGGGACACAGGCTGAGCCCTGGGCCTCAGGCGAGAGACGCAACCTGTGGCTGGGGATGTCCAGGGCTTCCAGTGGTCATTGGGGTGGTAGTATGAGAGCTGGGGTCCCTAGGATGAGGGTGGGGCAAGGACACCAAGCAAGCCAAGAGGTGGGGGGGGCAAGAGGACGCTTGATACTGGCACATAGAGTATAGCCTCTGCTATGGATACCACAGGTTCCAGGGCCAGCAGTTCCGTTTAGGTCAAGAGTGACTGCCAGGCCTAACCCAGGTGGCTTCAGTGGAACCCACAGCCTGCCGCCCCTGGGTCCCAGCATCCTCCAGGTGGCCCTGTGTTCCCATGCTAGGACCACAGCCCTAGGGTGCAGGCGGGTGTAAGCACCAGGCACCTTCTCCTGCAGGTCCTGGAAACAAGGTCAGTACTTAGGACACTGGTCCTAAGGGCTCTAGCAAGGTCCCACACTGGACATACCGCCCATTGCCACCTGGACCCCCATACACATGGCCCCAGCCGGGGAGCCTGCGGACCCAGGGCCTGAGGGTACGTCTGGCACCAGGAGATAGACAGGATGCAGAGAGGAGAGGAAGGTGACAGTCTCAGCTGGGCCTCGCTGGAATGTATGGCACAGGCCTGGGGTGGGGGATACATTAGGATTCCACCTTCTAAGGCCCTCCGGGCTGCACTAGCAGCCATACTGCCCACCATGGACCCCACAAACAAGTCTGCCCCTCAGTGCTACTCACTGGGCCTCGACCTACGGGCATGTGACCAGCAGGTGGCGCTGCAGGATCGCCCTGGCCAGCCTTTGGTGAGAAAGCGAGCCAGGCTGCTCTAGGGACAGCTGCTCTGGGGGCCCTGTGTGCAAGCCAGATCTCAGAGGAGGGTGTCCTGTGGCCAGGTGGGCCAAGCACGCCAAAGCCCCCATCTGATGGTGAAGAAGGAGCCATGGCTTGGCCTCCCGGGGCCTCTGTGACCTGGGCCCAGCCAGGACTCTGCCACCATCCCTGTGTGGCCCCTTTGGGCCTGGGCTTCAGAAAGTACCCGAGTCATCGCTTTCCTGTGTGCCAACTTCAACTGTGTCTGTCGCTGCCTCATGGTGCTCTGTAAGCCATCGGCTCTCAGCTGTGCTGAGGATGACGCCTGGGGTTTCTTTGGTTGTCCAGACTGAGAAGGTGGGGCCAGGGGTGCCACTCAATGCACCCAGCCCTGAGCGCCAGTCTTGGGCCAAAGGGCAGCTGGGCAGAGGCCAGCCTCCCCAGGGGTCATCTTGGGCTAACAGCCTCAATGTCCAGCAGGTGTACAGCCCCTGGCAGGCCGGGAGCCAGCTGCACTCCTGGGAGTCCAATGTGTCCACCTGCTTTCTGTCTATCTGGCTATCGTCATGGCAGGTACATCCCAGCAGGTGTTAAGTGAGATTTAAAATGACACAGGCAAGCCGTGGGGGCATCTGCCTATAATCTCAGCTCCTCGGGGGCTGAAGCAGGAGGAATGGAAGTCTGAGGTCAGCCTGGGAAACTTAAGTGAGACCTTGTCCCCAAATAGAATAAGCACAGTAAGTGCTTATTAACATTCGAGTTAATGAATGTTACTGACTTATAAACATTCGAGTTGCGAACTTTCACAAGTGTACTATGTAAGGCTCACTTTGTTGCCTTATGAACAAATCTGACTTAGGAACAATTCTCCCAGAGTAGAACTCACTTGCAGATCAAGGACTTGCAGTGAATCAGCTGGGAATGTAGCTAATTACACCCTGGGTTCGTCCCCAGTACTAAAAACACAAAACTCCCGCCCCTGTCTGTTTGCAGCCTCTCCCGGGACCCAGGGCCCGGCGGTAGCCGGGTAGGTGTTGCCCAAGCACCTTGCTCTTCTGCAGGGATTGCCAGACCCCCAGAGATGCCACTGCTTCCTGGGCCCATCACAGTACTGACCACAGCAGACCAGTGTCAAGCTGCAGCATCCACAGGCATTGTCCATATGCAATTACCTTCCCTGGGCTTGCCACGCTTCCCACAGGTGGCTCCAATGGGTTGGTGCCAGTGCCAGTCTGGGCACACAAGCCTGGCATCTTGTCCAGGCCAGACACGCAGCCTTACTCCACAGGCCCCTGTGATCCTCCAGGATATTTCCTACCCGATCTTCAGCCTGCAGGCCAGAGTCAGCAGACCATGGCTGGGCCCTCCACAGACTATGAACAAGATAAACCACACTCCTAAGTTGCGAGTGTGAGGTGATTCGTCCCAGCAGTGAGAAGATGATTGGGACACCACCTCACAGGGCCCTGGGCCTGACCACAGTGCCCAGGATGGCACTGCGCTGACACTGTGGACCTGAATCTGGGGGTTCCCAAGCTCAGAGTGGGAAGGGGGCACCATGCTATGTGCCTGTACTGGGGATGCCACTCAGCAGATTCCTTCCAGAGTGGTCAGGCTTCACGGTGAGTGAAGGACCCCACCCTGGCACCCCATTACAGCTTCTGTCCTAGGTGAAGACAGTGGCCAAGGCCTGCACTAGACTTCCCAATAGGAGGGCCATGGGCAGTGACACCATCAGGCCCACAGCCCACTGTGCTGGGACCTGAGCATCTCAGTTCACTGCAGGACGCTGGGTTGGTTCGTGACCAAGGTATGTGCCACCTGCCCTGTGAGCTCCCATGGGAAGGCACGATGTTGGTGCCAGCCGAGCCCTGTGCCTCCACACACCAGTGCATAGTGTCTGCAAGAGCCCTGAACATGCCAGTGTTTCCCTTCTGCTGCAGTTACCTGCGCCACAACCGGCCCTCCCAGGGACTCCCGTCTCAATGTGGACTCTCCCCTGCAGGGGCCTAGCTGCTCTTTGGTCTAGGGCTCTGGGTCTGGACCTGGTTTTGTCTGGAAATGGGGCAAAGGGTGATGTCTCTGTACCCACAAGCACCCTGGCCTCCCAGTCAAGCACCCTTAATGGCCCCTGCAAGCTGGGCTCTCTTGTCAGCAGCCCATCTGCCCAGGAACACTGCATCCTGCTGACTTTGCCCACCGCTGCAAGCTCAGGGCCCCAGGCCAGCCATGGAGAATCAGGAGCTGTCACTGTCAGCAAGGCTGTGGGTCCCTGGCCAGGAGCTTCCTGATGCTGGCCCCTCCTGGGCGTTGGGTCTCTTTCCTGAGGAGCCAGTGGTCCCAACACATCATACATGCACCCCCTATGGCCAGCAGCCACCTCCTGGTGGGGCAAGCCTGCATCTCAGGAAAGGACCTTGTGATTAGCTGGCTCCCCATGTCCTGCTGGGTCACATTGCCAGGTCCAGAGGTGCAGAGGACAGGGAGGGTGGGAAGAGTCCTGGGGGGAGGTCTCAGCTGGGCATACCCTCTTCAGCACCAGCACCCCACCTGCTGCCCAGGCCTGGAGCCACTGACTCCTCTCCTTACCTCTTTTTCAGGCTCTTTTTCAAAGTCTCGGGGACCCCCCAGCGAGATGATGCTGTCCACAAGGTCAGGCCTCTATACTGTCACGGTGACATGTCCCCCACAGTGTCCCCTGGATCCTAGACTTGGTCCCCAGCTGGAGACTCCTGAGAGTCAGTGTGTGGAGCTCTTAAGGGACGCCCGTGGGAGGTCTTCGGGTCTGGGGGTAACCTGGGGGACATTAAGGGCCCCAGACCCTTCTTGTCGCTCCCGTGGGGAGCCCTAAGGGGAGGCACACGGCCTTCCACGCACTCCCGCCAGGATGCGCCCCCAGGAGGTGCCCAGAGCAAGGGTGCTGGCGACCAGGCCCAGAAACCCCAAGACCTGAGCATCTCGGTTCACTGCAGGACCCTGGGTTGGTTCGTGTCCCACTCAGGGACCCAGGGGGACCCAGGCCTGCAGTAGGTAGCTCCGGGGGCCAGAGGCGGGCTGTGAGTTATTCGGCGTTGGAGGTTCAGGGTCCGGCGGAGCGGGGAGTTAACGCGGGCTGGGTGGGCGCTACTGGAAAGGGCGACGCCTTAAAGATGATGGCTGCAGGGTAGCGAGGGGGTCCCGGAGGGGTAGGCTCTCAGTTCCCGCCCCGCCCCTCCCCTCCCGCATGCCCCTCCCCTCCCGCATGCCCCGCCCCCGCCCCATCCTCCCCCGCCCTCCTCTTCCCTCCTCTCCTATCCGCCCCGCCCTCCCATCCGGCCCGCCCCCACAAGAGCCAATGACAGTGCGACGGTGGCGACCAGGGAGCGTGGGCGGCGGAGGCGCCACCTCCTTTGAAAACGCGGTGACCTTCCTGCAGAACCCGAACCCGGGTCACAGCCCTCGCGAGCCATGCAGCCCAGGTACCGCCGCCCTGAGCAGGTCCCCTTTCCCACCTCGGGGATTCGGCCACCTGGTCACCGTGCCAACTGCGGCCAGGCGGCAGAACCCTGTTCACCCACTTCCGGCAGAAGCAGGGGCTGTTTCCAGAACGCTGCAAGGATTGGGGCAGGACCTGCAGGTCCCTGCCTCCTACCTACTGGGTCTCGGCACCCCCATCTGAGAACCAGGGTCCAACCCTCCTCACGCTCCTCTATCGTGCTCCTCACCACTGCACCCCAGCATCGCACCCCCTGGGCGCCTAGCCAGCTGCCCAGGTGACCATGCCCCCTACTCAGCTGTGGCCCAGATAACAGCCACCCTTGTCTGGTGCCCGGTGCCAGTCCGGGGCGTCTCCGCGAGGCTGCCCCCACCCCAGGCAGGGAGAGCATTGTGCATTCAAGTCTGCGCACTATTAATAGCGCTCTTGGTGCAGGAGCTGCTATAAATAGCCCCAGCCTCTCACACAAGCCCATTCAGGCGCCTGCTGGGCACACAATCACCCACACATGCGCACACTGACGGCTCAGAGGCTCCTGCGGGGCAGCCTGCCCACCTCCGCCCCTTCGGCTGCGCACACAGAGGGGCTCCCACCACATGGGCCCCCAGACAGGTGCCCCGCTGAGGCTGGCCCACGTCCTGGCGCCCCTTCTCAGAGCCCCAGCATGCTGAGCCACACTCAGGCCCTCCAGCTCTTGTCTGTGAAGTAAGCTGTGCACCCTCAAGGGCTCCCCAGCCAGCCTTGGAGCCACCCAGATGGAGGCCCTGGACCTGCTGCTGCCTCCCAGGGTCCAGCCAAGGCCTTGCTTCTGTTCTGCTGGGTCAGATGTGGGGGTCACAGGGGCCCTCTCCTACCCCAGTTCCCCACTTCAGCAGCCCAAGGCTGGTCAGCTGCCCCCACCTTGCCCCACAGGGTGGACACTGCTGAATTCCTCTCCCACCCTCCTTAGCAGCCTCATCCGCTGGGTGACAGGGTGGCTGCAGGCCCAGGATAGCCACTCTGCTGGACCCTCCCCGCTCAACAGCCTGGGCTCCCTGGCTGGTAGTAACAGGCAACAGGATGGGGAGCTCAGAGCCGCTGTTACTGTGTGGGGAGGAAAAAGGAAAACAACCCTGTTTACGGAAAAGGCGAGTCCGCTGTCGCCGGCCAGTGGCCTTCCTGAGGGGACAGAGGTCTTTTGTTGGGAAAACAGGAAGCGAGGATTTCCAGGACCTACCAGGCCACTCGCCGGCCGCCCGCCCTGGCTTCCGCCAATTCTCGAAGCCTCTGCCAGCTGTCAGCTGACTGTCTGTCTATCTAGTTTTGTCCATCCCTCTGATCATGGTGCCTGACTTCCAGCTTTTAGGGACACAGCTGTCTGTGAAGGTTCAAGGTAGAGGGGTCCTCTGAAGAATGCCACCCTCTGTGGGCCGTGCCTGTCTCACAGGCACACCTGGGCAGTGCTCTTGGGGTGCCCAATTTTAGGGAGCTATGATCCAGCAGGCACCCCCAGGGAGACCCCCTGAGAACCCAGCCCAGCCAGGAGCCAGGAGTGGGATGTGGCCTCTGTCAGATCACCATGACCAAGGTGCCCTGAGCTCACCAGGGAGCAAGGACCTTTGCCAGCAGATGTGTCTTACAGGCGCTCCTGGCATAGGCCAGAGCCCCCAGGATGTTACACCTGTCCCTGCTGCTTCCCATCCGAGGAGAGTGGTTCCTGCATCCTGCTACCAAGTCCAGTGTCTGGCTGTGGCCCCCACTGCTCCCTGTTTGCTAATTAGGCCCATTGTGGTGGGCACCCAGGGACTCACACACCCAACCCCGTCTCATGCAGCATACTCCTGTCTCCTCAAGGACAGCACGCAGCCTGTGCCCACCTGCACCCAGCAATGCACCCAGCACAGCCCCTCTCCCGGCCCCCAGCACGGGAACGGGCCTCAGCCAGGCTTTCCAGGCAGCTTACACTGCAGCTGTGTGGCACCACAAGGTGCCTGGCGCTGCAGGGAGCTGAGCCAGCAGTGCTGTTTGGGGGAACTGCCAAGGGCCCCTCAAGTCCGAGTGGGTGCCACACGCAGCACTGCTTGGGCCCCATGGGTTAGAGGCAGCCGGCAGGTGCCCAGCTCCACTATGACCTCAGCCCCTGAGTGGTGACAGGAGTGTCTGGGCAGTGTGGGGGTGGCTGTCCAGGGCCAGTCAGGGGCAGGATGAGGACCTGGTGGCCCATATGCATGCCAGCCCCACGCACCCAGGCACTGCTGAGCCCCTGCTGTGCTGCTCTCCCCCGGGCTGTGTCACCAGGAGCTCGATGCCATGATGCTGGTGCAGGCCATCTGGCCTGTTGGCAGATCCCGCACCCCATATCCCATCCCTAGCCCCATACTCAGCTTCCTCTCCGACTTCCTGTCTCCTAAAGTGAGGAAAGGGTGCTCAGGTGCTGAGCCTGCTCACAATAGGGATGGGTCGGGAAGCGGAGGCCCACCCAAATGCACACGCAGTTTGGGGCCCAACCTTGTAAGGCTCTGAGTTGAGTAGGGAGGTGAGACAGCACTTTTATTCCAGCCAAGGTTCCTGTCAGCCCAGCACCAGGTCGGAAGAGTGCAAGTGGGATGGACGCAGCACAGCCGGGGCCTGTGTGCGTGGGAGGAACAGGCAGGGCCTTCCCCAGACGGGACTTGCGTTTACCTGTGGGAGCTGCTTGACAGCCAGACCAAAGCAGAGGGGAGTCCCAGGTGCTCAGAGCACGTGGTAGCCCAGAGGGTGGGCTCCAGGTTACCTGGGCAAGGGAGCAGTGGGATCTGCTGAGCCTGGGTGGGCTATGCGATGGCGACCCCAGGTAGGGGCAGAATGTGGATGGAGGGCCATGACTGAGCCTGGAGGTAGGGCCAACTGCTTCTGCAGAAGACAGGGAACCTGGGGTGGAAAGGGGTCTTCAGGGAGCTCTCTACGGAGAGGCCCCAGCTTTGCTCAGGGCACACTGGCTGCCATCTCAGTACAACCCAGGGCCAGGGCCAGGGCCAGTGTCGGATTTGAATCCAGGACTCACAGTCAGGCCCAGTGTCCATGATCCAGGTCCTGTAGTCATGAGCTGGACTCTGAACCTACAACCCGTGCTGATAGTTCTGGCCACAGGCCTCTGAGGAAGGACTCTGGGGAGATCAAGAAGGAATTAAGGTCCCTGCCTTGAGGCTCCCCAGCTTGTGACCTCTCTTTCACCCCGGAGTTGTTTCGGGTCATGACCCTGGAAGGGAAGGATGCGTGCAGACTGCATGGCTTGCTGGAGGAGGGGGCCCTGGGAGCAGTACCCAGACTGCCAGTGTTCATGCCTTGGTAAGAGGGCACACCTGTGTGCATGGGCGCACACATCAGGGCAGCCTCCTGGTGGAAGGCGTCCTGGACCACCAGCCCTGACCCTGAATGGCCCTGTCACCCACAGAGACCCAACTGTGCCCTGGGGTGGAAGCTTGGCCTACCCACAGCCTTGCTGCCCATCAGGCCCAGGGAAATCTCGATGCTTTTCATGGGGTGCACACTGTACCAAGGGGCCATTAGAGTGCAGATGTGACCTTCAGAGGAGATGGCAGCCCCAGTCTGCTTCAGTTTTCACCTTGGGGGTCCCCTAGGCAGAGACACAGCCAGCCTACCGCAGGGCCAGGCCCACCATAACTGCAAGATGCTGAGCAGGCACCCGGCGAAGCCCTGAAGCAGCTGGTGGGACGGATGGTGTCATCTAAGCCTGACAGATTCCCCATCTCACCCTGGCGAGGGCTTCACCCAGAGCTGCAGCTGCGCACCCAGAGGTTACTGGGAGGGTGCTGTGGAGCCCTGGGGGACAGGTGCATGGGGCGTCACATCCTTGGAGACAGGGCAGGGGTAACTGAGAAGCTGGGGCCAGCCATCGTGCTCAGTGGGGATGGCATCTCAGCACGAAAGTTGTGGGGGTGATGGCCACACAGCCCTGTAGGTGTACTCGGCGCCACTGAAGCACGGGTTTAAAAATGGTTGGTGAAAAGTTTTACGTTATTTATTTCACCACAATCAGAATAGAAGGCTGAGTTAGCACGGTGCTGTGCCGGGTTTTCCAGTCCTGCGAGAGGGGTGACTCTGGGAGCCAAGAGCCCCGGAATGGGAACCAGGAACCTTAGCAACCTCACAGGCCTCGGCCTTGGCCTTGGCCTCGCAGCAGAACGGAAAGTCAAACCAAGGTGATGACTTTGATGCATGATTTTTTCTTCCCTGGGATGACGTGGCAGGAGCACCGTAAGCTGAGCAGGAGACTGTGAAAGGGACAGAGCTCTGGGCCTCAGACCAACGACGTTGCTTTGTCTTGCTTGGCAAATGAGGGACCCAGTGGTTCCGTGGGCAGCCCCCAAGGCCAGGAGCTGGACACAAAGCACGGGGAGGTCAGGTGCAGGTGCGTGCTGGGATCCTGTCCTCACACCCAGCCGCGCTGCCCTGGACCCAACAGCCAAGGGCCAGTGTGTATGTGTCCCCATCCAGCGCAAGCAGTGAGCAGCGGGGGCTGGAGTGGTGGCAGGGCAGGGCCGGGGACCTGGGGACACATTACATGATCTGCACTGCTGTTCACTGCAGACAGCCTCCCGTGGGCCACTCTGCACACAGGGTGCACTTAACAATTTAACCACTAAAATGTGTGCTTCTTTCCCCGGTATTGGGAGGAGGAGCTGGAATCCAGGGAGGCCTGAGGAGAGAAGAGAGGGGAGGGGCACAGGGTCGACGCAGGCTG